CTATCTCTTGGGTAGATGGGATAGAGCTCGTGATAACGCGTAGCTGTCTTGTCTTGTTTGGCTGTTTTGATTGTTGAAGGGTTGTTTTTTGTAGCCTTGTAATAGCTTTTGTAATTGGATGGGTTGGAGCTAGTTGTATAGCTCGTAGAGCGTATTTTCGATTTGTTTGGCTTAGCCGTACTGCTGGTAACGGCAAGCTAGCTTCGATGCTTGTTGGGATAGCTGGAGCTGTTTTAAATACTCCTAGTACCTTTCTGCATGCCGCGTTATGTAGCGGCTGAAGCTGATCTTCTATATAGCTCTGGTTTCGCCAGTAGATTGGCGACCCGTAATCTGCAATGCTCGTAACGCATGCTAGATATAGTTGTCTGATAGCAAAGGGAGATAGCCCGCGGTCTATATTCGCTAGTCTCCCTAGTCTATTAAAAGCTGTTTTTGCTTGGCTAGCTCGAATAGCTACGTGCTCTCTAAAAGATAGCTTATTGTCGAGGTGTACCCCTAGCCACTTGATCGTATCTTTATAGTATATTTTCTCCTTGCTAGGGAGTTCTAGGGGAATTTCTTTTCTTTTTTGTTTTTTATAAAGTGGATTAGCTCTGTCTTCGCTATATCGAACTCAATTGCTAGTTGTTTTCCTTTCGTAACTAGTTTGTTAACCTTGCGTTGTAGTATCTTAACGTTTTTTTAATAGACGTTGACGAGGTTGTAATTGAGATGTCGTCGATGTAGGAGAGCTGGAATCCATCTATTTGAGGGAACAAATCTCTGATGTAGATGAGAAAGAAGATTGGGGAGACTGGGCTACCCTGTGGGATGCCCGCGTTAATCTCGCTGAATTCTTCTATTTGGCCGTCAAAGGCGAGCCTTAGAGATCTGTTAGATAGAAAGGTCTTAGCCCAAGTGATTAGGCTGATAGGTAGGCCTAGTCTTTTTAGTGTATCTAGGAACTGATTGTGGGAAACGTGGTCAAACGCTCCTTTTATATCTAGAAAGACTGTTAATGTAGTGTAGCCTTGTTGTTTTTGGTGCTGGATTTGATCTACGAGGAGTAGAGCTGCGTCTATAGCTGATTTCTTTAGTCTCCCTCCTATCTGCGAGTCGTGTAGGAGGTTGGTAGTCTCAGCGAGGTAGCCGAGTCTCTTAGCTATTATCCGCTCTATTACTTTGCCTAGGCAGCTTAGTAGAGTAATTACTCTGTAGGCCTTTGGGATAGAGTAGTTAGGTTTAGATGGCTTCTTTAGAATTGCTCCTGTAGCTCTTCTCCAGCACGTTGGATGGTATCCATAGTTAAATAGCAGTGAGTAGGTTGGTCAGCACTAGATTGCGTGAGAAACTCGCGCAGTGAACAAAATTGAGTAAATTAAGACATTCCGACTCCAGACATTGGTTGCAGGATCCTGTGAAAGGCCAGGAGGCTGGGTGAAGGTGAAGATGGAGGAAGGACTTGAAGATTGAGTGACTTAGTCGCCTCATCCTCGCCATTTACATAGCCTGCTATGTCAAACTACCACCCGACAAATACAAACACAACCTCTTCAGCTACAATTCGACATATGACCATGACTCTATTGACGCGTCTGGCATCACCATCTGTCACAGGGCCCGTCGCACTAAATCAAACATGCTCCCCAGACCCTTCCACTGGCCTGACTTCCTCCGTCACGTCATTCTTCGCCTTACACGCCCACACCAGCCTCGCCATTTCCTCCATGTCCTCGTCAATTACGTCAACATTCTGCTTCGCGATAAGTAGAAGGGCATCAAGTTCCTTCTTAAGAAGACCTTTGTTCCCAAGATCTGTCGATCTACAAGATTGAAGCCCGTCCACATCCCGAGTTGGATTCCCTCGTACCCAGGAGAAAACGCGGGAGAGAGGACTCCGCTTCTCTTCGCGTTTTCGCTGGATATCCAACAACGTCTGCCAGACCTCCCATTCGCGTTCTCGACACAGACCCAGAGTTCTGCTGCTAAAATCCACAATGCGCTTTAGTTCCGCAACTTCATCTCGCAGATTGGATGTTTCGATATGCAGTTCGCTGATCTCGAGGTCTTTTTGCTCAAGCCACGTGCCAAGTTGCGGCACGAGATCGTCTTCTAGTCCATTGATGCGGTCTTGAAGTCCGTAGACGACAGTGTCAAGTTTCTGGATCAGACGCGTGTCCAGTGGTGTTGAGGAGCTCGTGTTGCTGCGTGTGGGGGATATTGGGGTACCTACCAGCGCTGCTCCATGAACGATTTCTCGATGGAGGGCAAATTCCGACGGTGTGAGAATGGAGGAGAGCAGTGTGGAAGTATGTTCCGGAACGAGATCGGGAGGTGGTGGCGGGCGCTGGCGAGGATCGATACTCGTATCGGCGGTACCAGCAGTGCCATCGGAGCTTGACGGTGGGTAGTAGCCTGGCGGGACGCCGTTTGTTAGTGGAGAGTGAGTCTCTTCTTGTCCCCCTCGCAGTGGCCAGCTGAGCGGGGTTGGGTCACGATAGAGAGTGTCATTCGAGCTTGTATGGCTGCTTGTCTCAACACTAACACCGTTTGGTAACAGTTCGTCTTCTTGAACTGGTCGTATCTGAGATTCCTGCGCGGCATCAACACGATCATAGAATGCACTTGCGGCGACGGGATAACTAAAGTTTGGCACAAGGCCCGCGTCGACTGGGGCAATAGGAAGTGTCTCGTGGTGTTCTGAACCTCTAGTGGCAGAGTTATGCCGTGCCCTATCTATGACAGCTTCTCTCATTGCCGGATCCACTGCCTCATTGTGTAAAATGCTGTTCAAGGCTGAAGTCCATGTCGCTGGTTGTGTCGACCCCTCATCGGTTGGCGAGATACCCGGTAATCTAATTTGAGAGCTTGTCGGACTTGGTGGTATGGACCGCCCTCTTTGTGGAAGATTATTGACACGATGAGATGGCAACGGGTTCTGCATTTCGGTCACTGCTGGTACTGACGATCCTGGGGTTTCCAATGTAACAGACGCTTTAGCCGCTTGGTTGCACTGCTTATCTGATTGAGGGTGATAAGAGGTTTCAGATGGAAAATCCATAAACTTGTCCCATTCCTGCGTACCAGGCATAATGGGTCCTCTGGGCGGCGATGTTGGCCTCGGAGGTGATAGCATGCGGCTTGGACGCCGAGCACGCATGGGTCTAGGCTCGACGCCATTACGCTCTTCCCACCGTCTTAGGTTTTCCGCATTTTGTGAAGCGGTCAACCACTCACTCGGCACGGGTCGTGGGGACGGGCTCCTGTTGTTTCTGCCTCTTGGGCGCCGAATCGGGGTCCTGGCAACCTCTTGTCTGAACTCTCCACCAGGCGGACCAACATATCTCGGTTCTACATCTGCGGCCAGCATAATGCTGTTAAAGTAGAGCTGATCTTTTGGATAGAAGTAGCCTTTGTAAGGCCCTTTGTCAATGATCACAGGAAGACTATCAGGTGAACTGCTCCTTCTTGGTCGGACACGCCCGTCATCCAGGTCGTTCTCAATCTTGTCTTGTGCCATCTGTAGCTCTTTTTTCTGTTGCCTCTCAAGCTGTTGCGGCGTGCGAGAAGGCTCGGCAATCGTGTAGTAATGAGTAGGCCGGCGAAAGGGATGCTTCAGCCGTTGAAAGAATGTGGTCATGTCCGCGACTATGATGACGATATATCGGTGTGGGTGCTAGAAAGTGAGTTACAGATTGCGATTTGGGTGCTTGATGAAAGTCCATGACGTGTTGTTTGATATGACCATGTTCGACTGTGACAAAGAGGCGTTGGCAATTGCGTTGGCAACGATTGTGAAGATGCGATTGACCACATTGTTTGAGTCTATTGACGCCCATGAGCCGGAAAACAAGAGATAGCCATGTAAACAGTAGTTACGAACACTGGAAACGATCGCCGAAGGAACGCAATATCGAATTGAAAACTGCAGGTAGCATTACCAAGTTACCGCTTGCAAAAAATAAACTATTGTAGCCTCCTTCTATAAGCCACGCACTAGGAAGACAGGATCGTTGTGTGGGGTATGTAACAATCGTGAGTACGCCATGGTAAAAGATGAATCCGCTCCATGGCTATGCAACCGCAACTATGCAGGTGAAACGCCCCCATGCCGTGTAATCGTAAACCGTAACGCCAAAGATTCTCAATATCTCTTCTTTGCCTTGGCTGCCATTGCTGCCAACTTCTTCTTTCGCTCTTCTTTCTCCCTCTTGAGTCGGTTCTCTTCCGCTAGAGCTTCGGCATCCTCCTTCTTAGCAGCCTTGAGTGCCAGTTGCTCTTCCTCTTCGACATCCCATATGCCTCCCTCCATGTCGGAAGAGGCATCAGATTCGTAGTCGTCTTCTTCGTCTTCCATGGCATCGAGGTCGTCCCAGTCTGCGTATCCATCGTAGCGTCCCTTGGTGGGGTTAGGTTTTGGCTTAGCAGCTGGCACGCCGTTGCGACTTGATGTTGCAGGCACACTTGTAGGACGTGCAGTACCTTTGTAGCCAACTTCAACGGGCTTCTTGGCCGGTCGTGCGGTGCCTTGGTAACCCACGTCGACCTTCTTCTTCTCTTTCGACGGGTCCACTTTCGGATCCACCGGCTTCGACGGCAGGCCGGCGACGGGCTTCTTGCCTTTGACGCCTGCTTCTGCTTTGAGCGCCAGCCGCTCCTTTCGTGTCAGGATCTTCGTGGGCTCATGCTTGATTGGTGGAGCGACGGGCTTGCTTGCGTCCTTCTCTTTCGCCTTCTGAAGCATAGCCAGATAACCTTTCTTAGGTGCGGCACTTGAAGCGGCGGCGGCGGAGCCGGTGGCTGCCGGGGCAGCCTTGGGCGCGGGTGCTGGAGCCTTGGGCGCGGCAGCGGGAGCGCTGGACGACTGCAGCGGCTTTCGGACAGGCGGGTTTGCTGCTTTTGAGGATGCAGGCGCGGCGGTTCCACGATAGGGGACAGAGGTGGTCGGTGCGGATGAGGCAGGTTTCGACGTGGCACGAACTGCACCGTTTGCCTGAGCTGGTCCACCAACCGCCTCTTTCCTCTGCATCTTTGCTTGCCCGTTCTCAGCGGGGCTGGATGCCTTTCGCTTCAGCTGCGGTGCTTGGGTTGCGCCATTTGCCCCTCCAACCGGTCGCGGCGCTGGCTTAGGGGTAACGCCGAGCGCAGCTTGCTTGGGTGCGCTTGCCGTGGATTTCGCGCTTGGGTCGATTATTGACATGATGTCCTTGAGTGACTGGAAGGCAGAGTCAGCATACGCGGGCCATCGCAGACACGTCGGCCACACTCACGCTCATGGTAGGCAACAGATAAGCCTCTGACTCAGTGTTACCGCTCGTTGGATCGATTGGAGGGCAAGTTGTACATGCTTTCCTGGTAAAATTCACCGGTATTGATGGTCGGCAGAGGACGATCGCGCGCGCAGGGAGAAGGCGATGCGCACGGGACCGGCGTGTTTTTGAGCGGGCGGCCAGAGAGTGAGCGGACGACGACGGCGCAGACGGGCCTGTTTTATACCTTGGCCTTGCGCCTAGCCTGCCTTCACGTGACAATGCGGGCATCCGACGCTAGGCCGTGAGCGGCATGGCTGGGTAGCGAGATCCCACCTAGAGTCAATATTCCTGGACCTCGAACTTTTCTCCCGACAACCACACGAGAACTTGAAGTCTCAGTCTCCGGCCACAAGCGGTGCGTACGACGGGCAATTTGGTGCGCAGCAACGCAGTACTGACAAGCACAGGTTAAATCGATTGAACTCCTGTTCCTAGCCACCGAAACCACCAACTCGCCATCACAATGAAGCACCTCGCAGCCTACCTCCTCCTCGGTCTTGGTGGAAACACCTCGCCTTCTGCCGACGACGTCAAGGTAGGGCGACTCGCCGGGCCATTCCAATTGCCAATCTAACACGCCACAGGCCGTCCTCAGCGCCGTTGGTATCGAGGCCGACGACGAGCGCCTGAACAAGCTCATCTCCGAGCTTGAGGGCAAGGACATCAACGAGCTCATCGCCTCCGGATCCGAGAAGCTCGCTTCCGTTCCCTCTGGTGGCTCTGGTGGCGGTGCCGCCGCCGGTGGTGCCGCCCCTGCTGCCGCTGGTGGTGCCGCTGAGGCTGAGGCCCCCGCCGCTAAGGAGGAGGAGAAGGAGGAGTCCGACGAGGACATGGGTTTCGGTCTCTTCGACTAAGCGCCTCGCCAAACCATCTCTCTTTACGATGTATGATACAGCAAATCTCTCGAAAACCACGGGAATCATGCGCCACGAGTCGGAGCATTTGGGGCGTGTCGAGCGCACAATGGATGGGATATGGAGAAAGGTTTTGCGGCAATGCTACCATAGCTGCCTGCTGAGATACCCACAATGAAGCCATGCACCCTCAAAATTTCGACCATGTGATTGCTTTTTGTGACGTGATGCACACTACACTGAAATGGTTTTTAGAGACTACCCGGAATGACTGCGGCTCGCCAGTCGTAGCACCAATAGAAGACGCGGGGTTCTTGAATAAAACAAGTACAAGTCCCAAGTCATGACTTGATTGTATTGATGTTCTCGTCCAGCGACTGACTAGTGGGGACATACTGTCTGTAGCAAGAGTCGTAGCACTAGATGTAATGCATAATCTGATAAAAGACGCTGATATATTCACACCTCGAGGATCAAATCCCGGCAAACTGAGCAAAATTATCCACCTGGCCTTTCGCAATTCCTCGCAAGTCAGCCCTGAGGTTGGTGTTGCTCTCGCTGCGCATGGACGTAGTGGCGCGCTAAGAGCTCGCTTAGCGACGCAGGCAACACCTCCAAATTCCCTCTCCCCATCGATAATTGAACGACCGACAACCCACGACCCGACGAAGTTCCCCCATCAGCTACTTCGACAACCGCAAACATGGCTGACGCTGAATACGACCCCGAGGCCGCAGCTGGTACGCACTTTTACCCCCTCTCCGAGCCTTTCTCCCCGCCCGCAGCGACAGGCACACACATTGTGTGGGCGAACATGGCTAACGAGATGCACAGCCCTTAAGGCGAAGAGGGCGTTCCGCAAGTTCTCTTACCGCGGTGTCGACCTTGACCAGTACGTTTCCCGACGCTCGCGATAGCTCCCTGCGCTGGGGGCTCTAGACAATTGATGGCGGTATTCTGATTGTGTGATACAGGCTCCTCGACCTCGGCTCTGAGGAGCTCCGTGACCTCGTCCACGCCCGCGCCCGCCGCAGGTTCAACCGTGGTCTCAAGCGCAAGCCCATGGGTCTCATCAAGAAGCTTAGGAAGTCCAAGCGTAAGGAACACGGCTCGCTTGACGGAGAAGGCCAGGATGGCTAACCGCGCGCAGAGGAGGCCCGCCCCAACGAGAAGCCCGACCTTGTCAAGACTCACCTCCGTGACATGATTGTCGTCCCCGAGATGATTGGCAGCGTCATTGGTGTCTACTCCGGTAAGGAGTTCAACCAGGTCGAAATCAAGCCCGAGATGGTCGGCCACTACCTCGCAGAGTTCTCCATTTCATACAGGCCCGTCAAGCACGGAAGGCCCGGTATTGGTGCCACTCACTCTTCCCGTTTCATTCCTCTCAAGTAAACGACTGGGTTATGGTTGCATGGGTTCTTTCGTGGGGCGGACAATGTACTTGACGACCTACAACGAATACAGGTGTTGGGTGCATTTACTCTCGAAGGCTATGACGTATACAAAAGACGACGGCGAGCATGGGAAATGGTGTAGATAACCATCCATGACATTCGAGATACCTCCACACGTAATTTTTAGTGCAAGTGATGTGCTTCAGTTGCGAGTGATGGCGGTGGTCTTGACGGCGTGCCCTGAATGCAAGTTTTCGAGTTTACAACATGTCTACATGCAATGGTTGGATGCAGAGTCAATGCAGGTAGTAGTAATCAGATTGGGTATTATAGACTAAGAGAATTCCGCCATGTCCGCTCGCTACCGTCCCAGGCGCATCTCGACCTTGGCAAAATTGTATAAGGCGCGGAGGAAGACTTGGTAGTTGACGCCCTTGTTATCTGGCAAGTGGCTGTGTGGTGTGTTAGTAAGGATTTTTGCGGGAGTGCAGAAGCGAATGAACATACAATATTTCCGTCAATCTCAGCTGCCACGGGGGGTAGCCTTTGAGCTGCACGGTTGGGCTGAAGAGAATCAGCAAATCAGGCTCGCTCGAGACATGATCGTTGAGCTGCGCATCAATCAGGTCCATGTTAATCTGCTCCTGTCGCACATCGCCCTTTTGCGCCATCTCGGCCAGTGTGCGCGTCAAATCGACAATGGTGTCGCGGCCGTCGTGTTCGGACAAAAGGAGTACAGTGAGATGCTGGCGCTCTTCTTTGAGGCTGGAGCCATTAGGCTCAGCAGACTGAGGGGGTGTATCGGGCGGGGAGTAGGAGCTCAGGTGCGGTGCCCGGATCGAGAGGGTAGGTTTGCGGCGGGGGCCAAAGTAGGACTCGAGAGTGCCCCAGATGCTGGTGTGTGTTTGAGGGAGGTAGTATTTGAGGACGCCTGGATGTCGTCAGCACTCCCATTCATGAAGTTTGTAGCGTAGAGCTTACCCGTGCGCTCGTAGACACTGAGAAAGGGGATGCCAGCACTGGCTGTCCAGGCTGCTATCTCGCACACATCATTGACCAGGCCTTCGAGGCCAGCGGTTCCCTGGTTTCCATCGTCCTCCTGGTACTCTACTATGACGCTCAGGTGCTTCGGCAGCTTCTCCAGGTCCTTGACGTCGTGGGCGATAAACTCTGGCGTGCGGTGGTGGTACTTGAGCAAGGAGACGACCTTTCCTCGGACGAGCCGGTACGCGCGTCGGAAGCGGAAGAAGATGCTGAAGAGCAGAGCGACGACATGGTAGACGGCGAGGTGCAGGAATGCCTTGATGGGACCAGTGATGGGTTTCCGGTTATGTTGCTGACGACGGTCACGCAGAGCCTTCTTCTTCTGCGCCTGCGTTTCGCCGTCGGAGACGTCAGACGGCAGGAATGGCTTGATGAGCTCTTCGCGCTCCTGGACCGAGAGTTGCTTGCGCCGGAAAGCGGCCTCCTGCTGGGTTGACAGGCCTGTGGCTGCCATTGCGAAGGGCGTGGTGGGCGAAGGGGGTAAGATGAGCTGGTCTGTCAATTGTCTCTAGCCGCGAGGACGGGGTGGAAATGGATGGTTATGCGAAAGGAGGGCCAATGCTCGCGTTACCCGTCCATGGCTGGCTGGGGGGTGTGGGCAGATGGATGGGAGAGCCATGAATTATCTTGGTGAGGCTGGTGCATGTGCATACGTGTGGCGGCCGTCTGTTCCGAGCGTCAGCCAAGGCGAGTACGCGCATGTTGGGCTGCTCCGCCCTGTGCCGTGGCGCCATTACGCGGAGGCTTTCGCAAGTCGAGTGAGGCGGTCCGGCCATGGTTGTGCCAGATGCGGCGACGTGTGCACCGCCGTGCGCGAGACGTCATGGCATCATGGTGCATGGTGCATGGTGGTTCGCCGGGCGGTGCTTTCGGCCGGAGCTGCTTGCACCTGCACCTGCGCCTGCACCTGCTCTTGCATTGCGGACCAGGGACCGAGGCGGCAGCGGCGTGGGGTGCGGCAAGCCACAGTCGCGACTTCCCCCTCGAGGGCCACTGCGTGCACACGTCCATTCACGCCTGCAAGCGCCCTGTCTCTGCTCTCTGCGCCACCAGACAGCATGACCGGGTAGCAGCCGTGTGCTGCTTCATGCGCTGCGACACACGCCCACGCTCCTCCGCTCTACGCCGTCTCGGGGCGGCATTGGCCCGCTGCATAGCACTTGAATGATACCCAGCTTCGACCGCCCACCCGTGCCTCCCTCGCCACCATGCAGCGCGTCAGCTCCCATGGCGCCTCGGTCCTCACGCACCAGGCCTCGAGGGCGTCGATACGCGTGCCGCAATTTACCCTAGAGAAGTTCACTGTAAGCTGCCGTATGGCTGTGCAGCGCTCCCCTGTACTGACATGCACAGAGCAAAGACTTCCTCGTCAAAGACTTCATCGAAGACCTCTCCCAGGCTGCCGTACCTGCGACACGGCGCTCTGGAAGCGCTGGCGGGCAGACGTTCGATCCAAAGCCGCTGATCCGGACCTTTGAACATGCGCTGAGAAGCCTCAACAGCCTATCCGAGGACCTGGAGGAGAAGGAGACGGATCTTTCTGGAGCCGTGCGGCGCGCAGAGCTACAACATAACCAGAATGTCGAGTCCCTGGGGAGGAGGTTGGAACGCGCCATGGACAAATTCCAGAAGCTGGACAGCTCGCTAAATGGAGGCGACGACGGAGGCTCAGACATGGGCGGTAATGTCGCCATGCGCATCGGAGAGCGGCTGGAAGAGCTCGACCGCCAGCGAAAAAGGGCTCTGGACGCAAAGTTCCTCATCGAATGCTGGCAAGAGGTCAGCGAACGAGGCGAGCTCATGATCCTCGAAGACCAACGGAAGAATGGCGACATTGTACGATGCGCCGAGATTGCGCGCCAGCTTCTGCGCATCAGCACACGCCTTGATCCAGAGGGCGGCCAACGAGTCAACGGCGAGACACAGAATGGCCTGAAGCGGAGAACGACACATATGCCGAGACACAACACCAAGGAGGTGATTGAGAAGTTCCTCGAGAACTTGGAACAGGATCTTCTCAGCAAGTTCCAGGAATGCTATGCGCGTCCCAACTATCCTGGGATGCGTGATTGCGCCATTGCTCTCAAAGGCTTCAACGACGGAGCCAGTGTTATTGGAACATTTGTCAACCAGCATTCTTTCTTCATCGACCGCATGCAGTTGAGCGGCGAGGACCTTGCTACAGATGTGGAAACGTGGGATCACCTTCAGGATCCCGATGCCGAACCTCCTGGCGTGGAGCCCACGCTGCAATCACTGATTGATGAAGTCAAGATTGTCGTTCAGGACGAATCCGCTATTATCAAGCGGGCATTCCCCTATTACGAAGAGGTTCTTATCAAGTTTTTGGAACGAATCTTCCAACAGTCGATTCAATCGAGGCTGGAAATGGTGCTCGACAAAGCTGGAGACCTCTCATCACTTGCTTTCCTGCGTTCATTGCAAGCTTCGAGGGGCTACATTACCCAGCTCGTGGAAGACCTCAAGACACACGGGTTGACAGAGCACCCAGAGCCGGCTACATCGGCAGTTGCTGCTACGCTTGATCAACAACTAGAGGAGCTGTTCTCATCATACTTTATCGGTGAAAAGTACATTGAGCGGGAAAAGAAGAATCTCGAGGAGCTCTACTCATCACTGCTGCTCAAATTCACCATCTATCACTCACGGCGCAGCAAAATGCCCACTTCATACTTTGGCTCGCTTGCGCAACGAGGCAAAGAATTAGCCGCGTCTGCTCGAGACAAGTACATGGAGCGTCTGGAAAGTACCGAGTTGCCTGCTAGCCAGAAGGCAACGCTTCTCCGCATTGCTGGCTTGAAAGAAGATCAGCAGGAGAAGAAGGATATTGAGGTTACAGACGAGGATGGTCGATTATCACTAGCAGTGGCCAAGCGAATGCTCAAGTGGCTGGCAGAAGGTGTCGGACGTGGTCTTGAGCTGTCACCGGGCAATGAGACACCGAAAGATGTGCAGGTATTACTCAATTTGCTCCTAAGACAAATGGGCGAAATGTATTTGGAGACGGCACTTGATGCGTAAGTCAGGTATCGTTTGACACTGAACGTGGAACTAACATTTATTCAGTGCACAAGATCATGCCGCTGCTCAAGAAAACACCAAGACGCCACCAGATCTCACACACCTCCCCTCTCTGCACACCATTACCACGATACTGCATCTCCTGCAACAAACAACAACCACTATCCTTTTGCCCCTGTGCACAGCCAATCTCACCATCCGCCGCGAGATTGAGAAGTCTACCAACATGACAATGGCGACGCTCGAGGCGAAGCTCTCCAACATCCTCAATCTCACAATAACCGCCTCATTGAATTGGGTCAGCAAATGTCTTTCACAACAAAAGAAAACAGACTTCCGGCCCAAGGAGGAAGACCTCATGGTCACGAGTGAAACTCAAGCCTGCCGCGAAGTCTCTGCATTCCTCACGCGCGTTGCTTCTCAAGCCACCTCAGCCCTATCCGGGCGTAACCTCTCACTCTTCCTCGCCGAGCTGGCACGTGGGCTCCGGTCCCTTGTCCTAGCACACCTGCTCAAGTTCTCCATCTCCCAAGTCGGTGGTCTCAGCGTATCAAAAGACATGAACCAGTACGTTGAGCTGGTGAGAGCATGGCCGACAGGCGACGAACTGGAGCCTGGTGCCATGGATGTTTTGACAGACGTTAGTACGTTGTTTATTATTGGGCCTGAGGCGCTGAGGGACCGTCTAAGGGCTGCTGGTGGACAGGATGCGCAAGAACTAAAGGGATTTATCGCTAGGAGAGATGATGCTGGGAGCGTTGGGGTGCAGGGCGTACTCAGTGGGTTGTAGTGAGCGGTCTTCCACTTCACTTTGATAGAGTCAGAGTATCTGGCGTGACATGCGATTCTAGGTGGAAGCACTGTGATGAGTGAGAAGCCTGTGCGTGATGTTTTACTAGACAAGAGTGTGAATAAGCAGAGTCCCAACCCCAACATTTATTTTGCCGTTCCACAACTCACCAAGGCTGTGTTGCCCTGTCGCCATGGCTGATGACGAAGACAACCGTTACGTCCAGCGTTGAAGGCACTCCAACACGATCGAGTTCTCGCCCGCAACCGCGTCCAAAGGTGGTCGACGAAGTTGAACGACTCAGGACAGCTTTGCTGATGTAGCACATCCGCGAGCAAAACAAAGTTGATCTAGTTGATCAAGAGGAATAGAATCTACCCCCCGGTGAGCCGGCCTCATAGACTACCCAGATTGTTACGTCTGTATGAAGCCAGATTCCAACATGTGCTCTTCCACTTTAGCTACAAGTAGTCAGTGGTTCAATCAAAGTTGCGAACACAGAAATGCCACTAGAAGCAGGTTATGCTACTCGATTGTGAACAGGATGATGATGACGATTCTAGGGACTATACACATGAGCCAACACCCCTCCCCTCCCCCCACTCTTCTTGCTACGTACTTCACGATTACACCAACATGCCCGCTACAGACGTCATGGCCACCAGTCCAAACAGCATCAGCCCCGCCTTGGACACCGCCGTCTGGCCGCCCACAAGCGAGCTCGCTGCACCGGTAGCAGCTGGGGGCACTGGACTCGCGGTCTTGGACTCGGTCTGCGTCTGCGTCTTACTCGGCGCGGCGCTTTCCGTTTTAGAGCCGGTGGCACTGGCACTCGCACTGCTCCTACTCTCACTCTGACTGTTTTGCGGCTCGCCTCTCTGGGCCTCGGGCGGGCTGCACACGACGAGCGGGACGCGTTTGCTAAGGCAGTCTCCGATTTCCAGGAAACTGTGGGTCGCGTCGGCAGCGCACATGATGCTGCAGGGCAGGGCCTTGCCGACGGGGGTTATGCTGCTGGGCTTGCAGCACGCATACATGTCCCAGAAGGCGTGGTCGTTGACGGTGGCATCGTTGCTGATGGTGCAGCCGCCTTGGCGGGCAGCCGGGAGTTCAAAGGGCGCTTTTGGAGTTGAGGACGATGATGCAGAGGGAGGTGGGCAGCTGGGGACGGGGCCGAGTGGGAAGATGGAGGGCACGATGGAGGGGGTGGTGAAGGGGCTTGGCGCCGTGTTGGTGAAGGTCGTGTAGGAATAGGGGTACGTGGTTGTCGGTGTTGGCGACGACGACGACGACGACGACATGGCTGTAGTAGTCGACATGGTGAACGAGCAATGACTAATGGTAATTTCGAAGTTCGGAACGCCGGGCGCAAGCTACTACGTAAGTAGACTCTGCAGATTGTAGTACTAGAGTGCGGGGGTTTTTTTTTGGTTTGGTTTGTCGAGGTACTGGTAGGAGATCAAAAAGGTGGAAAAACAAAAGAGAGCAAAGAGTGGTTATAGCCGCCGTGCTTAGCTACTAAAAATGGATGCAGGCTAGGCACCAGCCACCTGAGCTGGCAAGTCGTGTGTGGCTCAAGCCATGATAGGACACGAGCCTCGTATTTGGGCGACGCACAAGCGGGACCAATGTCGAGTGTTCACGAAGCCCCGAAACGGCACGAATACGGCTTTACGATATACCCAAAGCGTATCTAGAGGGCAGTCGGCCTCTCCCACGGCCGTGTTATTTTGGTAACGGAAATACGAATATGAGGGGGGTTGGATGCTTGTGCTTGACTGGCTGAGTCTTTGTGTGTCTTCTTTGCTCATGCAAAAGGAATGAAACCCACCTAGCTAAAAACAGACGTATCCCGAGTTTACTCAGCTCCTATGTCTGCGTCACACATTGTGCCTGCATTTCCAGTACGTAAGTCAATGGAAAACGCTGCGTGGGAAAGTAGCGTGCATGCACAAGACAAGACAAGACGCTGCATTCAGAATCCAATGCACGAGCAAGGTTTGGGGAGAGAGCAATAACAATGACAAGTGCATAGAAAGTGGATGCGTATCGTGCTCGGCAACATGTCCCAGCTTGGGTTGGCCAGTGCCAGCCGCACGGATGCGGGGCGAAAATACGGGCTGCTAGCGTCTTGGCGTGGGCCATGGACTCCACCCTTACCGTTCGCGTATTGCCCTGCCTGTCGTTGGGGACTGGACGCCTGAGGCAAATATTATCTTTGGTAAGGCAGTCGTTTCACCTAATCTGTGCAGCACACATCACTTCAATAAAGACAACTCAGTTGGTATACGTTGAAATTGAATTCATCGGGTATCACGGTTGCTGAAACAGCACATTATCATCATGCTAACATTACTCCCCTTGCTCCATGCCTAAACCTTTTCGGCGAGCTCAACCGTGTGCTGTCCATTGACGCTGCTCCTCCTCATAGCAGGGTCCTTGTCAATGTCCTCGTCCAGCTGGTTCATCTCGTCCTCGGTGTCGTTGAGGTGGTGGAAGATGATCCAGATCAGCCCACCAGCAATGAAAGACGCAATCGCGAGACCAGCATACATCCACATGATGGCGGAGTTGTAGAGGACCGGGTTGAGCGCCTCGGAAATGGCAGAGCCAAAGGCGTTGGTAAGGAGGAACATGGACTGCACAAACGACTTCATGCTAGGCGGCGCCTTGGTGTAGGCGTACTCGAGACCAGTCACCGAGGCAAAAATCTCAGAGAGACCAATGAGAATGTAAGCACCCGTTTGCAAGGCAATGTGGATGTTGTTTCCAGTGTGCACCCCATCGACGAGATCAGCGTCGCATTCCAGAGGCTGGCCGTAGCAAGGCCCGCTCTTGTAGATAAAGTGCTGGAGGACACAGGCGTAGATCATGGCCAGGGAAGCAATCCAGAAACCAGTCATGATGCGGTTGATCGGGGGGAAACGGATCTTGTACTTGCGGAGTGTGGGCATCAGCACCTGGTCGACCAGCGGCAGGAAGACGATAATCGAAATGGGGTCAAAGTTCTGCATCAGGTCGTTGGGAATGCCGTGGCCGCGCATTTCGCCAGCTTGAGTGACAAAGTTGTTGGAGAAGTTGCCGTAGATAACCCAGTAGATGGGGTAGAAGGCAAAGACCTGGCAAGCAATCAGGGCACGCTTAACCTCGTCGACAAAGTGGTCGTTCCAGCGGAGGTTGGAGTCGTTGCCAAGACCCGCCTGGTACGAGGGCTTGGCGGCGTCCATGTTGCGGTTCTTGATCATCATGAAGATGACGCGGAACGCATTCGTGATGACTGAGCCCTGCGCGGGGCGGACGACGTAGACCTTGCGGCCGAGAACAAGGACGAGCAGGCCGATGAAGAAGACGCAGAGACACATGAGGTATGCCGGCCAGAAGTCGACGTCACGCTCCATGTAGGGCGTGGCGAGCAGTGAGAGGGATCCGACGTTGATGCACCAGTAGAAAATCTGCCGTCGTTAGCATAGCCCTGGCCATGAGGGCTGCAATCTTACCATGTAGATTCTCTGAATGGTAATAGCAGGGTCAATGATGACACGCTCGCCAGTCTTGTCGTCGTGGCCAATGACCATCTGTCTGCGCTTGTACTGGTCGGCAATCAAAGGCGCAACGTTGGACTTGATACCACCCGTGCCCAGACCAATGACAATAATGGCCACGATGAAGCCACCAAGACCTGCGCCATGGTCGAGAGCAGCGGGAATCGAGGTGCAGGTGAGGATGATGAGACCGACAATGTAGACGAAGCAGAACATGACAATCGTGTTATACTTGCCCATGTACTGGTCGGCAATGACGGCACCGAGAATGGGCGTGACGTAGCACCAGAACTGGAAAAAGGTAGACAGACCGGTGGCTCCCTGGGGGCCCATGCCCAGAGCACCGCGTCCTAGCACTCCGCTGCGGGGACGCGAGATGTAGTTTTGGAAGATACCAGAGGCGCCATAGTAGGTGAAACGCTCACAGAGCTCGACAATGGCGACCAAGAAGGCGCTCTTGGGAAGAGGCTCACCGACCTTGCGGAGAGTGGCCAGCTCCTCGGCGGTAGGCTTGACTCCGCCAATGCCATCCTCCTCGACGACCATGGACGCAGCGTCGGAGCCAGAGCCGCTGGCGGCGTGGGGCTTCTCGAGCGAGACGTGGGCACCGGCGACATTGGCGTCGTTGACCGTGGCACCGTACAGGTGAGGCTTGTGGTCGGCCACGTCTTGGCTGTGCTGGAGTGCCTCAGCGCTGCAACAGGGTTAGCAGAGTGTCGGCGGCAGACGGGATCCAAGCAACGTACGCAGTGGTCTCGTGGGCGGATGCCATGGCGTCGGGGCTCAGTTGCGGCCAGAGACCAGGTGGGAGAGAGAGGGAAAAGACAGAGCGGTTGCACCTGGAGCATGTCCAGCAGAGACGGACCGGTCGTCCATATTTAACGCAGCAGCTTGTTTAGCATGCGCCATATCCACATGGACTCGATGTATGCAACCCGGTCGACGTTCGCCTCAGTGTGTGCCGGGGTGGGGCCCAAGGCCACACAAGCAGTGCTAAGGCCCGATGTAACGTCTTGATATCTCGGCCTTGAGCCGAATGGGTTGCCTCGTCCGCGACAAAGCCTGCCAAAGCCTTCTCTTGGCGGCTTAGTTGCGCCACCGCCCCCTCGGCGTAGGAGTCGCCGATTCGCCCCAGGCCCAACAGCGGCAACACCACCTGCCCAAACGAGCATCGCGACGCGGCCATGTCGCCTTCGTATTCGAGCGTAATGGTAACGGAGTGCTGCCCTGCCCGTCGACCTCCCCAACGCGTGCCGACATGCCGGGCCTGGTGTGAATGCTGATGCGCTCGCTGTGGTTCGTGGGTTTCAGCGGCATACACCAACCCCAGCTGCTGGTGCTCTAGCTGCAGATGCCACTATCAGCAGGCGCCGAAACCATGCCATGACCTGCGCTGCGCGTATATAGTATACACCTGCTCTTTCTCCAAGGCCTGAGGGCAGCCGGCCGCCGGCGCCTGCAACACATGTGCGGGCCCTCCAAATTGCAACTCTTGTGGAAAATTCTGCCATGGCGACCCACACACCCCAAGGCCGATTGCGGACGACAGCGACGGCGCTCTACTGTGTGTCGTCGGGAGGCAGCTCGAGCGGAAATGTTTCGGGCAATGCCGATAGATAAGGTTCTCACGGACGACGGGGGGGGCGGACGGTGGCCAGGTTAGCCATCTGATCCGCTGTGGAGGCAGCCACTTGTGATTTGGGTGGTTTCGCCTAGATGCACCAACGGGGAATGTCGCCACGTGACGGCCAACCAACGGACGTGTATGGAGACGAGAGACCCGCACGGCGCGCTTATCGTTTGATGAGAGAGAGGGGCATGCAGCTACACGCCGACAGCAATGCACCACCAACTCGTCCGCTTTCCCTTTAGCCAGAACCGTCGTGGTGATAAGACGCGCCGTCGTCACCCGCCGCTCTCAAGCGTCGCATTCCAGCCACATAAGCTTGGCCAAGCTCCGGTGCCCAGGGCGGAAGGCGCATGTCAAGCTTTTTTTCTCTCCTCCACGCTGCATGTCGCTGACACCAGCCCTCGTCATCCACGCCCTGCCCGCGTTAATCCCGAGTATGCCCTGCGCCGCCGACGTGCGCTATCCGCCACAAGCCCCGAATGCCCCTGTGGCCTTCTAGAAGACGCGCACATGCGCTTGTTGGGATGCGGAAATCCATGGTGGTGGTGGTGGCGGCTTACCTTGGACCGCCCATCTGGAAGGTGGATGCGCCTGGCTCCGCTGTATGGGCCTGGGATACCACCAGCTGACCGCAGATACGCCTTGTTGCATGTACGGCGGTGACGGGTCTAGCACGACTTGAGCCGCCGTCGTGCACCCACACCCACACCAACCCACCCATGCCGCTCCGAGCTGGTGGGGTAAAAGGCGCTGCAAATCACCACCACGCACCAATGGGGGGCTCGACACTCAACACCAAAACTGCCATTACTCTCTGCGTCGCCTCTATAATACCCGTCGTCTTCCTCGTCAGCATAAAGAGACTGGCAATCAAACCCCCCATGGCTTTGCTCCAAACGCATGCACCGACATGCAGTCCCGTCCAACAGTCAACCACCCACAAACACAATAGTATACAAACAATAATCAATCATGATAAAAAGAAAAAAGAAAAAAAAAGAATAAAGTCTAACACGCTTACGACGAACTGTTGGGGCCAGTGGTGCCAGGGTCACAGCATTGCTTCCCTCCTCCACACGTGTCAGAGCACTCCAAAAGACAGGCATCAGGCCCATCTCGGACACTTGGGTTCTTGCTGGTGCCGGCAGTATCCTCTGCGCCGCTTTCGTCTGAGCCTTGCGCCGAGTGGTCGTGGTTGGCATCCAGACAGAATTCTGGCTGGATAGTCGACGAGTGAATGCCGTATTCGTGGAGGCATTCACGGATCTGGCGTGCAAGCTCCATGTACCTAGCAGAGCCCTCGCCCTTGAAGTCAAAGTCGACCTGCACGTGCAACGAGGCAATGAGCTTGGTGTCGGAGAGCTGCCAGACGTGCAGGTGGTGGCACGAGACAATGCCCTCGAGATCGCTAATATCTTCGGTAATATCATCAATGGACAGGTTCTCGGGAACGGCTTGCAGCAGGATGCGAGACGCCGCCTTGCAGAGCGGCAGCGCAGAGAGGAGTATGATGACGGTAATGAGAAGCGACACGGCAGGGTCCGCGTACATCCTCCATGAGTAGTCGGTAAGCCAGATGAACAAGGCTGTGGCAATGACGCCAATGTTGCCCAGAGCATCGCCCATGACGTGCAAGAAGACACCGCGCATGTTGAGGTCAGCGTGAGAATGGCCATGTCCACCCCCGGAAGACGCCTGTCTGGGCTGGTTGTGCTTGTGATCCTTGTGCTGATCTTTCTGCGCTTTTCCGTGTGCGTGCGAGTCGTGTGCTCCATTGCCCTTTGCCTTGGACAGCAATGAAGTCCGCTCAGTCGGCTCCTCGTCTGCCTCCAAATCCTCTTCAGTATCCGCCTCTTCGTCACGTAGCCGAGAAGATTCAATAATGCTATTACGGAAAGACGAGGGGTGTACGTAGATTTCGTCCAAAGTGGCATAGGTACGCGACTGCGATCGGCTGTGACGACGCTTAGTCTTCTTTCCAGATACAGAAGAGCGGCGCTTGTCCGCATCAGGCGAGAATGTAATTCCGTTCGACTTGGCGGGGCTTTGCGTCAGGTTCGAAGGGAAGCCAACGCGGTTCTGAGGTAGCACATCGGCCACATTGCCGCGCTCGTCGGCAACAACGTCGTCTTCACAGTGGGCGCCGTGAGAGTGTCCCTCCTCAGCATGCGAGTGTGCGTCGTGCGAGTGCGAGTGCGAGTGCGAGTGGCCGCCGTGACTGTGACCATGGTCGTGGAAGAGGAAGAGGCCGATAATGTTGGAGAGGAGACCGCAGGAACCGACAACGAGGATGACCTGGGGGTGCGAAACATCCTGGGGCTCGACAAAGCGCTGGATGGCTTCGAGGAAGATGGACAGACACAGCGCCACGAGGAAGACGCCGTTGATCAGCGCACCCAGGGTTTCGGCGCGTTGCCACTGCTTATTGTCAGGATATGGCCGCACACAACCGACCGGCGACGCTCACCCCATATGTGTATGTCTTGGAATTGGTCTTCTGGCTGGCCACCTTGACTGCCCACAGTCCGACGAGAAGCGATATGACATCATTCAGCTGTGCCTTCTGTTAGCCTGCACTCTGCGCAAACAGCCGGCTACTGTATACGCACCATGTGGAACGAGTCGGCCACCAGCGCCAGGGAATGCACTGCATATCCCGCAATCAACTCGACAAAGAAAAAGGCCGTGTCTATGCCCAAGAGGATCATGATGCGCGTGGATTTGGAGAGCCCCATGGCGGCGGTACGGGAGCGCTGGCGACGCTCGCGGGGGGCGGGTTGTTGGGAATGCAGTCGGCGCGGATGGCGAGGCGTACAGGCCCCTTTGTATAGTCGCAAGGTTGCCGTGCTAGGCCAAATGCTGGCTCAGGCGCTTGGCCGGGATAGTGAAAGGGGAAATTTTCTACGTCGGGGATCGCGGTCGAGAAGATGAGCGTTGGGAAGTTTAAGCTCGGGTCCCGAGTTTTGGGCCCGCCCAAGTATACTTAGTTTGCGCCCATGCGCGGAGACGCCGGGATTTCACGCAACAACCCGTCGACGTCCTGCTCAAACAGCAAGCACTCCCATCACACAATATATGCAGGCGCTGTCTCGCAAAACCCACAGAAAAAGCAAAGCCCCGTGGCGCTTTGGCTGCTTGGCCTGCTTCCAACATGCGCCGTGCGTTTCGTTGCTTGCTTCTGACATTTCGATGACATACCGAGGTCTCACACATCTGCCCATAGTACCCACCTATACTTTACCAAGACTGCAGCTTGCCCCGCACATCCGACGATGTCCTGTCCCGTCGCACCAATGCCGCGACCAGCTTCACCGTTGCGGGTCAAGAAAAAAATTCCCGAGTCGCTCTTGGACCAGAAAATGGCAGCTTGTCCGCCTTGGACACAGTCAGCACCCGCCCGAACACGTTAGCACCCGCGCGAGGGCCCCGACGTATCGACGTGGATTCTATGTGTAGAAGGGACCCAGATAGCACCTGTCAGCCCAGCAAATTCTCGTCGATCCAAGATTGTTATAGTAAGCACTATGCTAGAACGTGTTCCATCACTAAGCTACGCATAACCACTCAATCTATCCCGACGCTCTGCTCGACAACCACACGTCGCAATAACAGACGCTCTTATCTATACTTTTCGGGAAAGCGGGAGAAGTCTTAATACTATGGCATTATTGTCGCAGAACTGCATATCCAAAATATGACAAGAGATTGCCAAGAGAGTGGAGTACCGGACATTAATGAATCAGGAACTGCTATAATAAGCATCCACTTTGCATAGCCTTGGAGAAGGCATTGATACACTGCATTCCGCGTGGAGAGCATACATACCAGCCAAAGGAATACGCCAAAGCTTCTAGCCTGCTTCGCTTGGCCATCGAGGCTAACGTACGCGATACCAGTCAGCAAAGTCCAATGGCTGTTGAGCCTAGATGTATCAGTGCGGGCTATAACTACGTTGCTCAATAGTACGGGCTCAACTCTCAACATTAGATTTCTAATCGTGCACTTACTCGGTGGTTATTCTAGGCACACTGGCTCAACCCCAATTTGAAAAATATTTCTAGTATGGTAGCAATCGAGCTTGTCAATATAATATCGACCTGTAGGGATAGCTTATACAGACATCACATCGGTGTACGGCTAGGTAAGATCATATTACTTGACATCTCTTAATATTGCTAGCTGGAGCTTGGAAGATACAGTGTAGTACCCTGTCTCCTAAATAAACCGTGTATTATTGAGAACCCCCGAGAATCAAGTCTCAAATCTCTCGAGCTTCGTATACCTCCTTCGCGGCTGGGTTGTGGTTCCAAACAGTTGTGGACGGGGCGTGCCAATACTAGCTAAATAACAGCACAGTCTAATTCCGCCGCCATCACGTACAATAACAGTCGCATTGCAGGGGTTCTCCAGGCCTACAAGTTGGAAACAAGATATTAGTTACTACCGGTTTATTCCGACACGTCCGCCCTTCATAGTGAAGAAGCGCTAAACTTGTAAACGAGAGAAACTTACGTCGGGAGATTGTATCTATGGACAGACCTATCGTTGTTACACTGATGCCAAGTTACGCATTAGTAGGTTGTACAATGGAATGCAGATAATTGGTATTTGCAATTGCGTACCTGGTCTTGGCAATATTGATCGATGCACTGATCACTGGCTTCAGCTGTGCATCTAGGTCCTCTCCTCTTGCGTCCGTCATCTTCTGTATTACAGTAAGAGTTTGTTCCCGCCTGGCCGGGGTGAGCGGCCATGCATAGCTGTGCTGCCATGGTAAGCATTCCCATGTAGAGGTATATCCGCATGGGGGACGAAATATGAATGCAACGCATTTTTTTGTGTAAGAATGACCAATATAGATGGAGGATGGACTGCACACCAAGGGAAAGCGGGCAAGCGGTATTCTTATATTCTGGAAGCAATAGTTTGTATAGTGGTACTTTTGCTCCAACTGAAGTAGAAATTAACAAATCTTGTCCATGACATAGGTTGTTGGTTTATAAGTTGGCGCTATACTAAAAGAAGCGCCGGGTCTGACAAGCACGGCAGATAGTGAATTCAAACCCTGTATACTAATTATAATTTTCGAACCCTAATATTATTTCACGGTTTGTTAATGAAATGGAAGTGGGTATCTCTCACCAATGATGTGTCAACAAGATTGATAAGCTCAAGCCCCATTAGAGTATCAAAGACTATATATCAGGCGACACAGAGGAATCAAAGAAGTCTGAGGCTTTGCTAAGGTTTCAAATCTCGTATTAGAGGCGGGGACCTACATACCAATCACTTGGATATAGAGGTTCGCAAGTATTATCTTGGTAGGAATGTCGAGTAACAAGACCACAATCTCAGACACAGTGGTTCCCTCTGCTATGGTGCTCCCTGTCCGCTTGTTCAGAAATGCTTTAGCACGGATGTAGTTGTATAGAGCAGGTTATAATACCTCGTCTCGATAACACGTGTCCTAGGGCCCTTACGCTTCAAAACTTTCCCAAGCATGAATTTAGCTATGACAGTCTCACAAGATAAGTTTTCAAAGTGAGTCTTTGACAGGGTCTTAGCCACTCTTAGGCATTCATTTTCTAACCCTGATCAATTTTCTTGATCTACTAAGTTTAGAGATTAATTATTAGTATATCTATCGCTTACTATTAGTAAAAGAAGGTTGAGGATAGTAAGAATAAGCTAAATTTAGCAAGACGGGAGAGCTCGTATCAGTCCGAACTTGGCTCCACTATGTGTCTTCTAAGACCGCATCCAGCAACCTCCTCCATAATCTCCAGACTTCAGGATTTAGTTGGTAAGTCTTTTCCCCAGCGACTCATTGACTCCCATTGCTGAGGAGTGCCCCTCGCCTCCTCTAAGAACAACTGACCACATCATTTTCGTCCTTCGAATATATAGCTAATTTCAAGTCATCCAGCGAGAACCCTTGTTAGGGGATTCGTGCTCTTCTCACGCGGCCTCTTCATCTGCAGGGTAGTTTCCGGAAGCTCTACGGAACTATCCCATCGAGAAAATTCCCAGGCAATCCTGTGATATTCAACAATTCGATCCTGTTAGCCGTCGGATTTTGGATATCATCTGTGAGACATCGAGTATATTGCTGTTTTGATTGCTGGTCGTTGATGCGGCCCGGCAATTTTTGGATCTCGCTGAGTATGGAACCGGAGGAGGCTTCGATTTTGTCATGCATGATTCGAACTTGGTCATGGTAGGCGTTGAGTTGTAATTGTTGGTGTTGGAAATTGGCCTTTAAGGTCTCCACACTCTGGATGAGCTTTTGCATGTCTCCTTTCAAGGATGATATAAATGTCGCACACCAGAAACCACTCATAAAAGCCCCGGTGAAAGCTAAAACTAGAGTGATGATGGCCATATCTATGGCCTAGTCAGATAAGTCAGGCAGGAATATGCTGCAAACCCTACTTACAGAAATTTGCACGTGACCCAGAATCCCGCGCTCTCCGCTCACCAGCTGGGGTAATGAAAATGCGTTTTTCAGTCATGGCCGACGTAGCAGCAGATTCTTAAGATAGTTGTTAGAGTAAGAGAAAGGAATGGCACCTGATAGTGAGAGATACTACTTAAGTATAAGTCTCTTATGCCTCGAAAGACACTGAATTATGGTTGACCCTTCTCTATCCCCCAATCAAACGCCTGATATTACATTCTTTGACATAGTCTGAGTGTACAAATGACAAAACTATATCCTGCTGTCAGAGATTGTTGCACCCCTAAAAATGATACCTTCAGCTTGGGCTGAGATTATTGCGTGTAGAAGCCACCGAACACCTCAATGCAGTGTCCGTGCTGGATTGTAGTCCATGCTTCCTTTTTCTCTTATGACGCCTAGAGGCATCAAGCAAGAGTCAAGCCAAAGACAGGGGTTTATGCAGAAGGAGAATAGCATCAATATACGGCTCTGCTGATCGCCATGCCAAGAACACGCATGGGGTTTCAGGCACATGTTTTTCGGCCCTTCATCGCCAGAACAAGACACAGTTGCCACTCTGACGATAGACGCGACTCAAGCAAAGCATATTTGATAGGTATGAAACCGCTGGAAAGTCTCAATGGATTTGACCATAGGTGGATTCCAGAGTCACACATAGTAACCTTGAGCACAGGATGAAGAGCACCACCTCCTTCGCAAACAGAAGGGGAGAACTGTGGATAAAAATTATAATCCGCCCAGCGCAGAGCGCCTAAAAATAGCATTTCCGCAATAGCGGCCTGTATATGAAAAACTGGGCTTGCATGACTAGATACAGCTGGGTGGCTAAGTCTAGCATGGCAGGTGTGAGCAGTGACCTTGGATAGCTCATTACACGATGCGCAAACCTCCAGCATGTATCGCCAATTGCAGAGTGACAGGGATAAACCCTTTGATGCGTACCTTGATTCGATGGGACGAACGGAGTATTGTGTCGAGACGCGAATCAGGAGCGGAAAGACGGCGACGTGGTGGTGCGAGACGCTGCATGTATACGTCATGCGAAGGTGGGGCAGGGGGCGCATCGAGGGGCACATGCACATGGGAGCTTCCAAGGCGCGTGGAGCTTCAGCTGCAGCAACCATTTACATACTTGATTTCTCCCTCTTGCCAATCCAATCTCGTTTCTCTTGCTTTGCTTCCTCATCAGTACCAGATTCAATTCCTTGCACAGAGTAAGTTTGTTGCGCTCCGACGTTGGATTGCAATGGCATATAGTCCCTCCCCGCATGCGATGGGAGTCCCTGGAGCTTCGGATGATATTGTGAGAAGCGGCTGGCCTCTCAAGTACGCTGAAAAGCTCATCTCGTGCGGGGCGTCAGCATATTGCACTAAGCGTTCCTTCGCTATACTATACTAATGCAGTGCCAGATCTCCCAACTAAGCTTTGACAATGTCTTACAACGACGACAACCGTGAGTCCGGCAGGCAGTCCGGCTATGGTGGCCGTGGAGACGACCGGGGCGAATACGGAGGCAGCGGAGGCAGATCAGAAGGCGACAGCTACAACAACAGCTCATCAGGCGGCTATGGAGGCAGTTCAGGACGTGACAACTATAATGACCGTCCATCGGGCGGCCATGGAGGCAACTCAGGTGGCTACGGCGGCAGCTCGGGGCGCGATGATTACAACGACCGCCCATCAGGTGGTTCCGGACGCAACGACTACAATGATCGTCCATCAGGGGGCTATGGAGGTAACTCTGGACGCGACGATGACCGCCCATCGGGTGGCTACGGAGGCAGCTCAGGAGGCAACGACTACAACGACCGCCCGTCAGGTGGTTCTGGCGGTAACTCAAGGCGCGACGACTACAATGATCGCCCGTCGGGTGGTTCCGGAGGCCATTCAGGAGGCTATGGTAGCAGCTCAGGACGCGACGATTACAACGACCGCCCATCAGGCGGTTCTGGAGGTAACTACGGAGGCAGCTCAGGGCGCGATGACTACGATCGCCCATCAGGCGGCTCCGGGGGCCACTCTGGACGTGATGACGATCGCCCGTCGGGTGGCTATGGAGGTAACTCTGGGCGCGACGATGACCGCCCATCCGGTGGCTATGGAGGTAGCTCAGGACGCAATGACTACAATGACCGTCCTTCTGGCGGCTCTGGGGGTAACTCGGGTGGCTATGGAGGTAACTCTGGACGCGACGATGATCGCCCATCAGGTGGCCACGGAGGCAACTCGGGTAGCTATGGCGGCTCAGGAGGCAGTCACGGAGGCCAGCATTCTTCTGGTACATCCTATGGCGGAGGCGGTGCATACGGAGGATCTTCAGACGACTTCTCGGGCGCCGCGGAGCATGCTTCGTCGGCATCTGGCAGTTCCGGTGACTCCAGCTTGTTCACCAGCGCCCTCGGCATGCTGTCCGGCAACAAGAACAAGTACCAAAACGAGGATGTGGACGAAGATGACGCTGTCCAACAGCATCAAAAGTTTTATGGCAGTGGTGGCGGCAGTGGAGATGGACAGGCTAGCTCGAACAATCTCGGTGCCGCTGCTGCTATGCAGGCAATGAAGATGTTCAACAGCGGCAGCAATGAAGATGCCAAGGGTGGACAGAACAAATTCATTGGTATGGCCATGGGCCATGCTGCTCAGCTGTTTGATCAGCAGCAAAGCCAGGGAAAGACGGTAGGCACTAATCCACCAGGTGTTGAACAAGTGCTGACAAAAGTAGGACCCCAGCGCTACCAAGCAAGAGGCAGTCGCCCAAGCTGCACAGATGGCTCTCAAGTTTTATATGAAGTCTCAAATGGGCGGAGGCAGTGGCGGCAGCTCTGGTGGTGGTCTTGGTGGAATGCTGAACATGGCTAGCAAGTTCATGTCCTAAACCAAGGAGGCGCTCCCTTAGTCCACACTATAGAAAAGTGGTAGGCAATGAGAATGAAAAGCAAACGAAACCTTACGAGTCCTTGCAGAACGATTGTCATCTCTGGTGCAAGTGGAGCCGATCCGGTAAGCGTGAAAGCATGTGGCTGTGTCGCACGAATCATCTTCCCCGATTCGCTTGACATGCCAAGGGCTTACCTCGCGGCGCACGGCATGTCAACCCGACTCTCCTCCAAAACTTGAACATCCAGTCTTGCCATTGGGCAGTCGCCAATATGCCCAGTGAGACGGCAGCAGCATCCGAGCACCGAGTACATGGTTGGAACTGCAGCTGAAGGCCAACATGCACCCGCTTCATTCACTCTTCCGCGGCCCCACCAACCGCAGCAACTACCTGCACCGCCATGCAATTGGAAGGATCACGATCTGACATGCGTAGCTACGCCCACGGTGCCTCTTACTCGTGGTTTCCTGTGAAAAAGCACGCTCGAATTGGGCAGTCATTCATTAGGCCGGCCACTTCTCGTGGTAAACACCTGGGTCCTACTGTGCCTCTGCATCCTCGCGTCATCCAGGATCCCTCAACTCTTTGATACTTACTGATCTGGTGCCTACACAGCAGGTTCTTTTTGCAACGATGCGCTTCTCCACTCCAGGCGTTGCCCAGCTCGCCCTACTGGCAAGCCTGTCATTATCACCGTTTCTTGTTACAGCACAGGATTCCATCAGCTATACCTATGATACATATGGCGCGGGAGATGACAGCGGCACGCCTTTTCAGACTTACATGTCGAACAAGAACGTAATGCCACCAGAGATGCACGTCAATCACAATGGAACCGCCTTGCAGGAGGGGCTTGTTTTTCTGGGAATCAATGGACGGCCAAGTAGTGGTCAGAATTGGCCCACCATTTTCGGTATGCTTGTCCTAAATTGACCGGCGGTATACCCCGTAGGATGCTGCCTGTTGCTTGATACTAACCTGCATGCTCAGAATTCACAAATGACCGTATGGGCTCCCTCGTGTGGACCGGAGACTATCCCGAGGCTTTTGAGTTCAAGGTGCAGACATACAAGGGCGAACCTGTCTTGACGTTATGGTCTGGAGAGCTCCTAGACGGGTATGGGCACGGGTCGTTCTACATCCTCAACCAGAGTTACGGCGAGATTGCGCATTTCCATGCAAACGGCTTTGGTGAAAACATGGCCGATTTCCACGAGTTTGAAATTACAAACGACGACCATGCGCTGGTAATCATCTATCACGGAATTCCATGGGACCTAACGCCGTCCGGAGGTGTTGCGGACGGTTGGCTTTTCGAAAACACGTTCCAGGAGATTGACATCGAGACTGGCGAGCTAGTCTTTGAATGGAACGCTAGCGCCCATGTTGGAATCAACGAGTCGTACAACTCTCTACCATCTGATATCGGTCAGTCAGAGGAGACGCCGTGGGACTACTTTCATATCAACTCAATTGAAAAGGACGGCAACGGCGACTATCTTGTCTCTGCACGCGTAACGGACTGCATCTACAAAATCTCGGGAGATGATGGGAGAATCATTTGGCGTCTTCATGGACGCCAGTCGGACTTTGATGTCGAACTAGCTGCCCAATTCGCTTTCCAGCATGATGCGCGCTGGCTGGACGAAGATCAAACGCGCATGACACTGTTTGACAACGGACCCAACGGTCGGACCAACTACTCACGTGGTCTCCTTCTTGATGTCAATCAAGATGACATGACCGTCAAAATCATCACCGAGTTCACCAACCAAGCCAAAACATTTGCTCGCTACGAGGGCAGTTTACAAGCTATCGACCCATCCAACGAAACCACCAATTATATGCTTGGTCTTGGTAATGAGCCCTTCTTTGCTGAGCTAGATCACCAAGGAAACATTCTGCTCGACGTTCAATTCGGCAGGTCCAACGTGGTAAACGCTTACCGCACGTACCGCCAGCAGTGGGAGGGCAAGCCAACCACCAAGCCCGATATACACTGGGCTCGAGATCGAAGCTTGGCATATTTTTCTTGGAATGGCGCCACCGAGGTCGAGAGCTGGGTAGTCTGTACGGCGAATGCAAGCGACTCTACAACCTGGACGAATGTTACCGTTGCGCGAAGGACGGGCTTTGAGACGGCAATCTACCTGGTGGATGTGCAGCTAGAGGACTACGTGCGTGGAAAGGCCGTCAGTCAAGATGGAACTGCACTGGGATGGACAAGAGCAAGCAACGGAGAGGAGCTCTTTGACGCGCCGGATGACGTTGAGGAGAACGGAGTAGTGACTAGTCCTACTTCTTCCTCTCCTTCTCCTTCTCGTACCAGCACTTCATCGCCTTCGAGCACCGAGGATGGGCCGTCAAGTTCGACGAGCGATGCTGCTGCCAGGGCCACGCACGGTGTCATGCAGCAGGCTTGTATTGCTGCTGTCGTAGTCGCGGGACTGGCGCTCTGGTAATGGGTACATGGTAACACCAACGTATATACGAAGAGGCATAACTACACGGTAATAGTAATGATAGCATGAATAGATCTTTGATAAGCACTGTCTGACCACAAGGGCTATGGCCTCCTTCACGTGCCTGCCGGAGCATAACATCCGACGACCCGACGCGATGGTCCGGAAGTCTATCCCGCTCACCTTCACACACCACCTCGTGCATGGCTCGCACCACCCTTGCTTTCGGCGCAGAGCGAACCTTGACACCAACACGAACTGACTCGGTGCACATTTATCATGACAAGAAACAGGTGCCCAAGATGCCCGCCTACACTACCGCAGGATTCACTACCACACACAACCCTTATCGATGAGTGACCCTACGTCATCTCGAGCTCCACCGCTACCACCGCTCAACCTCCCCTCGGCAGCTCTACATATCCACAGCAGCACACGGAGCCAGCTCCACCCTGATTCCGAAGATGCAGTACGATTTGAACGGCAGCGTTTTGCAAAAGAGTTGGAGCCTGTAAGGCGCAACAACAAGGATACAACACCAAGTGAAGCACACGCCCCACCGAGTTTCGCCAGTCTGCGATCCAGGGGCGCGTCTGCAAACAGTGTGAGGAGTACATCAAGAGACGACCTGAGACGATATGCAAGCACGCAAGCAGATGTAGACGACGACACTGAGCATGGTGATACGCCAAGAAGCAAGCGCTTCTACGACGCGCTCGTCACGTTCTGGACTACGCAGATAAGCCTTTCCATCGACGAAGGAGCACAACGAGATCACCTTGGTACGTACTCCTCTTCCTCTACTCACTCACAGGCAGCCCAAACTAACCCATTGGAAGCTCTCGAACGCACCTTTCTGGGCTATTTACGCACCTCTCTTCTCCTCGTAATGACAGGTATCATCATCGCCCAGCTCTTCATTGTGCAGCACAGTCCCACGCCTAAACCATTTGGTTTCCACAGGATCGGGAGACCACTGTCAGCAACGTTTATTTGCTTGGCTATCGTCGTTTTGATCATTGGAGCATTGCGCTTCTGGAGGCTTCAACGGGCGCTAGTTGGAGGTAAGGCATTGGCGGGCGGTTGGGAAGTCAGTGCCATCATGGGGTTGGTTACTTGCTTGCTGTTAGGGACGTTTGGACTCATTCTGGGTGTGGATATCGAGAAGACATATTTTGGAGGGTGACTTTGGCCTTTGTGCTATGTCTCTTCGAGTTTGGGTGAGAGAAATAAAGGTAGTATCAGATTGACTGAGATATCACATCAACCACTACTGTATATACACTTCTTTTCTGTGCTCGTTGCCAATCTTGTAGTCGCTCATGAGCCAAGGTTTGCTTCTTAGTCTTCCATGTCCTGCTCGTGGATAAGAGTCACGTGAGCGCGTGAGTACAGCACAATCACACGGATGCTGTATTGTTGTGCTTCAGTGATTCTTTACGATACGTAGGTCCCAAAAGTGACATTGCATATGATCGCCTCAACGCCCTTTTGAATCAATTACAAAGGCCCAGGTCCCTTTTAACGCCGTCAAATGCACACTTTCCACGATTTGAACCAAGGGTATTTTAGACGAGCAAAACGGCGTTGAGGCATCCATCGTTTTCAGGGTTGTTTGTGACTCTGTTGGGTTTATGTGTTAGTCTTGGTTTTTTCTTCATAGGAACTACATCGTAAGGGTAAAACGTACTGAGCATAGCGACCCCAGACAACCTTTCCTCCGGCTGTAACGAGACCAAGTTCGGAAACGTTGACTTCGATAATGGTACCCTTTGTCAGCTAGACAGTCGTTAGCGCCAAGTAAGCTTTGGGGAGGTTGAGAAGACGTACAACACCCAATTGAGTGTACAGTGGTTGTTGGGGGTTCTTCTTGACCGAGCTGCACAGGTATCAGCATACTGCTTTCCTCATGTGATTCTGAGATGACATACATGATCGGCAGCTGAACTGTTACGTTGAGTTCAGGGTGCGTGACATTGGCCTTCTTGTAGCGCAATCCCATGGGCCTGATGAAGCGCTGGATCCAGAGTTAGTGTGCGTGTTGTGTCGAGCTACGGCGATACAAACCTCGTATTTGACAGGTCGACGAGTAAAGCCAGGACCGACAAAGGTTGGCTTGGTGATCATCCTCTTCCACGACTTCTTCTTCGTCTTCTTACCCGTCTTGACGACGCTGAACATCTAGATAGGTAAATAATTAGCCCATGTCGTACATAATCCTTGTAAACGAGCTTCTTACCTCCTCTTCGGAAATACCCTTGACCTTGGGAAGCGGTACAGAGAACCTGGCAGCCTTTTCATTTCCTAACACAGCGTCAGCATGTAGATCCAGTCGATGCGTATGGCTGACGAACGCTTCTGCTTAATGGCTGAAGACAAGGCCTTGGCATTCTTCTCGCTGGATCGGTCCAACAGGTAGGAAGGCAGCGCTTCGGTAGCAGGCTCGGGAGCCTCGTTCGACTTGACGTTGCGCTCCTCGTGTGCGCGGATCTTCTGCTTCATCTGAATCTTCTCCTTCCTGCGCTTCTCGGCATACTGCTTTGCCCTCAGTCCACGGAGGTTCTGGGCCTTCTTGGACGCATTGTGGCCCTCACGAGCCTCCCGCTTGCGTTTCCGCTCATCGTGATCGAAGCGCTTTCCGTGCCTAGGATGGGGCTGTTAGCCAGATGGTTCTTTTGCCAGGTGGTGCAGCCTCGATATTGGCGATGCGCAAGCGCTAGCGCGGGGCAGGGATATGAATAGCGGGCATGGACGTACTGCTTCGTAAAGCGCTCAATGTACTCGTTCTGAGGCATGGCGACTACCTCTCAGTGGTGGTTGTGGTAGGGTAGAGGTAGAGTGGAGTAAGTAGCCGTACAATAGCGAGCGCAACTTGCCTCTCCAAAAAGTTCGACGCTAGCCCCCCACTAGCGCGCGCCATTGCGGGAATCTTCAGCATCGGACCTCCGCAACACCAATAATCTATCCAACCCCCCAGCAGTCTGCCAGCCATTGCGACTTGCACACGACCCACCAATGGCGCTGCTCGCACGCACAGCACGAAATGCTCTGTTTGAGTCGAGATCGATAATACGCCCAACCGTCCTCCGTGCAGGAATAACGACCGTATCGCACAATCTCGACACATCAAATACCCCAGAGCCGCTCATTCAATCCGGCCACCGCATATCACAGGAAGCCAAGGAGCGCGCTCAAACACCACAGCCTTTGCCAGAACACACACCCAAGCCTGCAACCTCTAATGGTATCAAGGCATCACCACATGCCCGCTCAGACATTGTCTCCCAGACCCTTACACCCTCCATCCGAAACCTTCTTCCGCTCCTGCAAACGCAACCAGAACACTACATAACCGCCCATATACATGGAAGGCCGTATCTTCTTACTCGTGGCGACACACTCCGTCTCCCCTTCCAAATGCCACACGTGCGGCCCGGCGATATCCTACGTCTCAACCGCGCTACACACATTGGATCGCGAGACTACACATTGAAGGCCCCGGAACCGGTCAAGGGAAACTCGGACCATGGGAAAAAGGTGTTTTACTTGGATGAGCGGTTATTCACCTGCAGAGCGCGGGTCGTGGGTGTGGAGAGCGAGCCATTGCGGGTTGAGGAGAAGACCAAAAGGCGGCGGAGGCACGTCAAACACGTCAAGAGCAAGCATCACTACACAGTGCTGAAGATTAGTGATTTGGAAGTCAAGAGTCTGGAGGAGTATGAGGCCGCGTTAGCGCACGAGAGTAGTGAGAAGAAGAGTGTACAATAGTAGGTTGGGCCATGCATCGAAGAATACGTTGCAATAGCTGGTGACGGATGTATCATATCGGATCTCAGACGAATGCACAGCAATCAAATCAGTCATGACTAAAGTATGCATTGGGTATATCTAATCCCGTACGCCGATTATGCTACAACTATTCCTCACACTGCTGGCTGTTACTCCTAATGCACTACCTGGGCTGCATGGAAGTCTGGATGCTGATTCTGGATCATCGATGTGACCTTTTCCACCTCTTCTGCGAGCCCTGTGACGTTGGCGTCCCATTTACGTAGTTCCTTGCCCACCACTCGCTCCGCATGCCCCGTCTTGCGCTCTCCACTAGCCTCTCCCTCGAAGAAGACATAACGGTCGATCTGATCAATGTATCCAGCAAGGCGACCTTGTTCCAGCATCTTTGCTGCATAATCCTCTGCCTTCTCTGCGTCGATGCCTAGCAGCTCGCCAAGCTGGTCAAATCCGATATTGTTGTATAGCTTGGAAGCACCGACCAGGTTGTGTTCGAGAATAGCCTTTTCCAGCACTGTCAAACCGTCTGAGCCTCGGGCAAGATGATGAGGGTCGAGCTTAGCAGAAAAGGCCTTGATCTCAGCAGGTGTAAGCAGACGATTCAAGAAGATCTTCTCCAAGATTGCGTAGTCGTCAGCGGAACTGGCTCGGTCGTCCTTGTACAGCTTGGCCAGCATCTTCCCTCGCTGTGGACCGGCTGGTGCGAGGACTGTGCAGATGATGGCTCGTCCAAGGAACCCATCTCGCTCCTCCGGATCCACCATTGGCTCGTTGCTTATTCCATAGTATGCCTGTGCAGCATCGAGGAAAGAGCGTTGAGAGTCCAGGATGCGCGCCTGGCTGAGGTGGAACATGACCTTGGTCGCCTTGTCTTGAACACTGAATATGATGTTCTTGATCTTGTTTAGATGTGTGTATGCGCTGGTTGGGTCGTCCTCCTCTAGATAGCACCGCACTATCCGAATCCATACTTTGGCCTTTTCATCTGGAGTGACGGATTTCTGGGTAGACTCTAGGTTGATGGTAGCGAGTGTCTGCGCAGACCGCCTGTAGTCCTCGTTCTCTTCGAAAGCATCTGCCAGTGCTTGCTTGATCTGAGTGTCCTGCTCTTCATATTGCCCTGCACCCTTGGACTGAAGTAGTGTAATGACCTTCTCACCAATCTCTATCTTTGCGTCTGCGTCCTTGAGTGTCCGGAAGGCGTCTACAAAGGCAGCAAGCAGTGGCCGCAGCACTACTATGCCTAGCGAATCGTCCAGGAGAGTTTGTGCGTATGCTTTCAGATCGGCAGACACATTGGCCGATGATTCAATAATCTGCTGGAGGAGGGTGGTGTACTGTGCGGGCTTATCGCTAACGGGTGCCGTCTCGATTTGCTGTAAAGCGGTGGTGACGGCTTCGGAAGCCATGGCTCTGGGGGCAAGCGTATTCGAGTGAAACCGATGGCTCAATTGGGCGTGTGTAGGCTTGCAGATGATGATTCTGGTTTTGCAGAAATGGAATGGCGAGTTATATATGGCCTGGTAGGCTGACTACGGAGAGAGAAGCTCGAGATCAAGCGCACAGCGGAGGTAGCAGGCAGCAAACGTGGGGCAGCTGGGGCAAGTGCGAGGCTGCGCGACACATAGCTCTCGCATTATCGATAAGCAGCTTGGCACGCTAATGCGAGCGCGCGCCGCGAACAAGCAACCACGCAACCACAGCGGTCGATGCCTTTCATCGTCACATCCACGCCTCACCCTCGCCCTCGCTACGTCGCCCTCGCTTCGTCCCTACGTCCCTTTTTATCTAGTCTCCGACCCCATTTCGCTCCCTACTTCTGCCATCTCACTCAGACGGCGACTTGCTACCCACCACCACTACAAACACATTCTCACCCGTGACCATGAACGGTATCAAGGCAGATCCCGATGTCAAGATGGACCCAGATGCATCGACGCCAGGCGGCGGTTTCATGGACGACGAGTTCTATGAGGATACTGGCGAGATGATCATGAACAAAGATGGCCCAGAGAAGGACATATGGCTTACGCGCATCCCTCCGTGGTTGTATGACGCAGTCGCCAAGTGGGACAACCTCGCGGATGGCAACGATACCGATCAGATACAAATTGGCGAGATTTACGGATTTGCAACGACCAGCGGAATCGACAAGACAAAGCCTATGCGTGTCTTTCTCAATGACCGCTGGCGCGCAAAGTCGGAGCTCCCCTCGGCCTTCCAATTAGATCCCGCACCGGCCACCGATACACTGCTTGGAAATACATACGTCTTTACAGAGAAGGACCTGCCAGGTTTTCGGGGCCAGGGCTACGGTAGAGGGGCGCAGCAAGGAAGCTTTGGCGGTGTGCAAGATCCCAAGGCGCGCGTCCAGAAGCGAAGCAAGTACAAGAAGGCCATTCCTAAGCAGACTGCCCTCATTGGCCATGCAACACGGCAGTACAATGCCAATCCTTTGGAAACAAAGGAATACAAGGACTTTAGCGCTGCGCGCATCAAGCAAGCCATTCAGGGCTTACACATGACCACCATCATCACCAAAGACACCGAGGTTTCAGATGTCAACAATTCTATTACGCTCAACAACCGGTTCAAGAACTTCATTAGACCCATGACTAAAGGAAAGTCGCAACAGAACAAGGCTGCTCGTATGGCGAGATCTGATCTCATCGATTTCCTGCATACTCTGTTCGACGAGTATCAATACTGGCCGATGAAGGCTATCAAGCAGCGTACCAAGCAGCCAGAACAGTATCTCAAGGAAGTTCTCGGCGACATTGCGCTCCTTGTCAAGTCTGGACCCTTTGCAAGCAACTGGAAGCGCCAAGCTGTTTTTGAAAACCAACGTGATACCAGCAAGCAAGCCGAGGCTGCAGCGCCAGAAGGCCCTGGGGATGGCGACTCGGAGGGCGAGGATGAGATGGAGGATGTGGTCTAGAAGGCCTTACGCATTACATAGCGCAATATACGGATGTGATAACTAACTTTAGCGATACCCATTAAGTAGGCAGAGAGTGTACGCGTGGGTAAAGACATGGTACTGAATTAAAGACGAAAACTGTTTCTGCATTTCCTCGCAACTGCTCATTAGAAACTACAGGGCGTTTTAGGTTATGTAGATTATCAAAGGGTGCTGTTTTGTAATTGTAGATGAATTCACATTATTTTTGACCTGGTTGCATTCGGGTGATAGTGATGTTGAATACTACGAAGGAGCTCGTTTTTAGTGAGGGATATTCTGCCTCGTGCGCTACCAACAGGCCCTTCAAAACTGCTAATGAACATTCGCATTACCAGTACTAATATCTAGCGCTTCTAAAGGCTAGCAGATATGGAATATCAAATATTCAAATTGCTTAAACTAATTGGAAATGTCTTGGCTTATGGAATGGACGACAGAGATAATGGCTATTGGGGTGGAGCTTTTGGGAAGATATTGACCCGGCTAGCTAAGTCGTCCCAGTCAAAATGACTGCTCAGCAAAAGCTATTTGGACAGTGGCGCGATTCAGACATGCACCGTGTGTTGGGGTTCAGAACATTCTACCGCCCATTATGACTAGACTCAGGGCTTGTTCCAGTTACCATGCTACTATAGCCTTTATGGTAGGAAGTTACAAACATAACTAGACCATTTCCAAGGAAGATGTTGTTCGAGTTACGCTCGCCCAAAAACACAAGGGTCGCAGGCCTCACATGCTGAAGGCTGTCAAAAGCTGGAAGTGCTCCCCCCGCCCAAGGAATCGGCAGGCATCATATGTAGTAAGCTATTTGAGAATGAGGCTACTAAGAACTTTGCACTTGACTCTGAGTATATCCCGCTCGTTGCGAAGTAAAGTAGTAGCACTGCCTGTGATGAGAAGAAATGTTAAAAATCTTACACGCCTAGTTCGTAAGGCATGTGTAGCCGCTATGATTACAGTAGGCTAACTTCGGTGACTCAAGCGGGCCATGCCGACGGGGGACCCACTTACATGGGTTGTACCCTGCATGCTTTACACTTCAACCGTACGTACATCAATTGCATACAAACTTCTCTTCTTATCTTTCTGTCTCTCGCATACTCTTGGTGATTGGTGTGCATGGGAGGTGGCAATTACAGCAACGAGATTATCACTATAAGACACATCCGAGTAGCACGTCAACCAAGGAAACAATCTCCATCCTATAAGCATCAAATGTATAGGTTGGCATCGAGTGGAACCTGAATCAGCGTTAATAGTAACGTTTAGAAGCTCAAAGGTATGTTAAATATTTGTGCAGCGTGGCATCTTACCTCGCCTAACCGCTGCTTCTTTGGCCGCGAACCTTTTACCTCTTATTCCTGTCTTTGCTTCAGGCTTTGGCATGGCCTTTCACTCTAGAGCTTAGATGGATAATTTCTCAAAATGATCTAAAACTAATTTTCCTTCTTTCAGGTCAATCTAATCTTCATGATAGGTGCGAATAGGGCAAAGGTAAAGTAATTATTGTTAGATCCCGCACCTTTCGCGCCAATACGAGCTATAAGTACTAATGGTCACTACAGTAGTAAGGCTTACTAGCGATTTGTTCTGTGAACGCTAGTACTATCTGTTCGATACATTGCTCTTGCTACCCAACCTCTACCTACCTGATTAGTCGAATCTCACATTTACCTTCCATCTAGACAGCTGTAAGCAACTTCCCAGCATGGACTTTGAAATATTAATGAAGCTATATGTGGTTTCGGCTTATGACTGCTCTAGTAACTCTGCTAACAACTAGCAGTAGTAAAAGCCCCCTGGATGTTTAGAGCCGCCATGACGCACCAACAACAGCAGGGACATTGGCTAGACAAGTATGCAACAGGGTATGCTCCTTGGACGCTTTCGACTGCTCCAGATGGGGGTCAGACATTTAAGCGTCCTCTTGGGCTAGTGGAAACTTCTTTTGACGTAGATGGCATCTACTATGGCGGTCGGGCAGGTATGTGAATTCTCATGGCGCTTGACTTTGCTCTGCAGTACCATTAAGGCTATCTGTATTTAAGAAATACGATCTGGATCTCCGTTAACCGCCCAACAGACATGAACACGCTCTTTACCCTGACCATGCAGCACAAACTCCCACAAGACGAGCTCCGGCACAGAATAGCATCGGCTTGGGCTTGTCTTTGCCTGCAGCACCCTCTTCTTCTCGCCCGTGTGCATGAGGATCCAGATACCGGGATTCGTGGCTTCGCAGTGGATATTCCCTCTACGCCAGACGCCGCGGTCCAAGCTGTCAAGGACAACATTGTGTGGATCGAAGACGTGTACGAGAAAGTCAACGAGAATGAACTCTACCACCATGCCTTTAATACGACCAGAATCATCGAGCCTAGGAAATGCCTGGCGAAACTACTTGTCCTGCCCATCGAGCGCATGCCTGACGGGACCTTCTCCCTCCGCTTTCTCATAGTCATTGCGCACCAGATCTCCGACGGTTTATCAGCATACAGTTGGTTCAGTCACTTTGTTCGCATTCTCAATCAGCCACGCCAGGATATTCTCGCGGACATGGAGGCGTTCGGAAAGGCAGACAAGATGAAAGCGATTCTACCAGCAGCGCAAGAAGACTTGTACCCACGCATTGCCGGGAACAAGGCAAGGCAACGCTGGTTCTGGGCTTTGATCCGCGTGCTGCGCCACGTGAAAAAGGAGTTGCCGCCGACATTTACGAATCCCCTTCGCCGGGAGCAAAGATTAGAGGAGCCGGTGCCGTTGGAGCCAAAGTTTGACAAGATTTTCGATTATAGCCCCGCGACACGACCCCCAATGTCGTGTGGACACATCAGTGCCTCGCTCTCTGCTGCTGCCTCATCCCAGCTCATCTCGCTCTGCCGCTCCGCTCAAGTGTCTGTAGGCGCAGGCTGCTTTGCGCTCGTTGGACTCGCCATGATGTCAATCCACGAAACGCTGCATCCCTCGTCTCAATACCCGTCGTTTGCAACGTCGTTCCCACTAAACCCACGCGGCTTCTTCGCAAACCCACCGCCTACAGACTCATGCATGCTGGCTTTTTGCGAAGGCATCGTCATGCCTTTTCTCACTTCGGACCTACCGGCCCAAGCACGATTCAAGCTGGCCGCCAAGCACGCGAACCGCGAACTGAGAGTGTACCAGAAGCGCTTGAAGGGCAAAGACATGACAAGGGGTACCGCAGGGATCCTGGACAAGCACTCACCAGGCCGCCTCCTAGCCACGGGCTACATTGCGCAAATGGAGCGTGTCCAAGCCAAATTGCCGCCAGAGCAGCGCTCCCTGTCTCCCGGCAACCCGCAGGGCTCCCTCGCGCCCAGCACGGGGGGGTTCGGAGCAACGTGCGGTATTTCGTCCATGGGTCCTCTTGCAGCCTTATTCCAGCGCGGGGCCTACAACCTCCAGGAGCTGGGGGATAGGGACTTTGCAGCCGAGTTTCGGAATGTGAGGATGGGGGTGAGGGCGAGGGAGAATGAGTTTCTGGTGGGCAGCTGGACGAGCGTAGAGGGCATTGTCGAGTTTGGCGTGAGCTATGATTTGAATGCTATTAGCGAGGAGAGGGCGGAATGGTGGAAGAGGACGATTGAAGGGATTGATCTGATGTAGCAGGTGTGGACTAATGGGTAATGATTATGTACTGCTCGTAAAATGCGCGTCGTAGATGTGGATTTGCGCTCCACGTTTGCATCTCTCTCACTAGCACCGAAATACATGAATGGAGGGTGGGCAAAGATTGGATATTTTGTACTGTTGGTTTTGTACATTTCAGACCAAAATGCAGTTGCTGTATGTCTCGTGGCCCTCTAGGATCTGCCAGGACTTTGTGTGCTGGTCTCCGAGTCCTACGATCGTCCGAACGCATTACTATGCATGGTGGCATATCCGTCGCTACAGATACTTTGGTTGAGCTCGTAGAACACTGCAGCGTGCTCTCAGGTGACTTTTCCCATGGCTAATACTGCCAGGTTGGCCTATGCTTTCCTCCCAAAGCGCCATGTATGATTTCCCGTCAAGGTGTCGGCTCCTCCAACATTTTTCATGTGCCAATCATCCCAGGACGATGAGGTATACTATCATAAGTGTGTTGATGAACATCAAGGGTACTGTGTGCAGGTCAGCCTCGGTCCTGACTGGTATGCATAGAAGTCGTGTTCGTGTGGTGCAGGCAACGGGCTTGTTGGAGGGGCAGACATACTCCGCATCAGGGTTCGTACTGAGGAAACAAGGTTGATCAGCCGCGCCTTTATACTCGCGTCATCTCGCTGGCCAGGAAATCCGGGGTCTGCAGAAGCTGTCCAGCCAACTGTCCATGGTCAGCACGCAATTATCTTGTCTGGCCAATGTGTGTCTGGGCAAACGTACTGCGCGCGAGGAAGCGGTCTTCTGAGAGAATGGCAATGGCATTGACGAGGAGGACGGCGACTGGGGCGTGTTAGCGACGTGTTTTGTCGAATGCGACTTTGCAGGGAATACCGTAGAACAGGCCGCCCAGGCCGAAGAAGAACATGGCGGAGGCCTCTGGATGTGTTTTGGGTGTTTTCAGAGACGGCGAGGCTCCGGGTGGGTTCTCTAGGGGTTGGCGTTGCTGCCGCCGGTCTACCAGAAAGACAGTTGTCGTTGGCCAGGGCCAAGCATCGCAGGCACGGCGCGGAAGATTATGTAATCAGCCACATCCGATCCGAACGACGTCGCATACGGGGTCGCCTTTTCACGCGCACACGATTCGCCGACCCGGGCGCACAAGGCAGAGCGTGTTGCTGGAAAGGGACAAGCATGTGGAGGCTGCACAGTCGCATGCGCGCGATGCACTTGACACGGCCGCGGCACAAGGGCGCTTTTGGACCGGCGATGGCGATGGCGATGGTGGCCAGGCCGCCTTGCAGACTGGCGGGTTCCCGATCAGCGAGCCCAATATGCATGGTATGTATGTGGGTGGGGGACAACGACTCGGATCGGCAGGCCGGCGGGCTGTGGCAGCTGTAGGCGTGGCGATGCAGGTAAAAGTGCAAACACTGTAGAGATTCCAGGCGGGAGATGTGGTGATGATTGTCAGGCCCCAGTGGGTCCGGCGCAGGCTCAGCGACAGCGCCGCGGGCGTGTCGAATGGCAGCGCGCATCCCGGCGGCGGCGCAGCGTTGCGTCATGGGCACGGCCCGACTGTGGTCTTCTGGAATGCTTCGCTGTATATGGCCGTGTGCAGATGTATACTACGACATGTGTCTGCGCGGGTGAATTCTCTGCACGCTGCACTCTGCGCTCTGCAGCCGCGGCAGCTGCCAAAACCCCCGTCGCCCCGTGCGGCCATGGATTGCCTGGTCTAGAACAGATCTGCCTGTTTCTACATCCTGTCATGCAATTCCCCACTCGGAAGCGCGCCTCTACTAGTCGCCATAGTACACCATTACCACTACACACGCTGCCCCAACGTCTTTCCACCTCGCCCTCGCCCGCCCCCAGCCCTTCGTCTTGCCCCCAGCCCTCACCCTCGCCCTCGCCCTCGTCCTCGCCCTCCTGCGCGCCATTGCACCCATGCTTGCGCCAGAACCCCTGCTCCTTGCCGGCCTGCAGTCCCGCTGAGACTGAGGCGCTCCAGCTCGTCTCATCTCCTACACGCCGGCCGCACTGCCATCCCCTCGGCCCTGGCTACGATTCGCATACCCGCCTGGCGCATCTGCGCGCCCTCACCACCACACCGCCGCCCCCGCGCATGGCTGAAGACATGAACGGCCATGACGCCGACTACTTCGCCATGGGCCAGCGCTCCCGCCCAGAGTCTCCCAGCTCCATACGCAGCGACCCCATGTCCATGCACTTGACGTCGCCGTCGCCCACGGCCGTGTCGCTCACGGCCCTGCAGTACTTGCCCGTGCCCATCCTCGTCTTGTCGCCCCAAAAGACGGTGCTGCTCGCCAACGAAGCCATGGGCCGCTTGTTTGGGATTGACTTGGAAAGTATTGATGGTTTGTCCGTGTCCGAGGTGCTGCAGGAAAAGACCATGGGGGAGTTGGGCGTGGACATTATACAAAACGGCTCGCCAATCCTAATCACATGGGAGGTTCGTGCTCGCAACACAGACCATACACACATGTACAATGCTGACCGCCTAGAACTTCCTCGATTGTGTTGTAAAGGACGCAACAGCAAGCAGCGTCGACGAAGATGGAGACTTGCACATGGCCAGTGGGCACACGACGCCCACGGCAACAAACATGGCCAGCCAGGCCACCTCTCAACCAAAGCAGTCTCTGTTGCCTTTGAGCAGTACAAATCTTGCGCGGACTACGGTACACGATGTATCAGTAGATGTGGTTATTGCACCGCTGGCCCTGGGCCCGCATGGGACCCTGCAAAAGTGTGACAAGAAGTTAGCGTACAAAGACGCAATTCAAGTTTCGTGCATCATCTCAATATGGAGCATTGAAGATACCCAATACTACACGCTGACCTTCACAAGCGCAACACCTGTAGAGACCCCTCACACTGCACAGCCGTCTACTCGCATGGTAAACCGAACAAACACAGGACCCCACTTCGACAAGTCGCGCAGCTCGGGCTCAAGTACCTCGTCAGGTCGCCGTTCTGGCAGCAGCTCAACCCACACCCCCAAGGCCGTCACCCCCACCCTACAGCAGCCCGAGTTCCCTCCCCGCGGTCCCCCCAACAAGAACAAGGGCGACATTGCAGTCTCCGCCTCCGTCTTTCAAAAGGCCACGCAGCTGAAAGATGCTATTCTGAATTCCATCACCTTGCCCGCCTATGGTATATACTTGGTCCTGAGCCACCAAACGCCCACGACCCTGCTGACATTCTTGTAGCCATGTGGAAAGACGAGAGCTTTGGCATGCCCAACAAGGCTCTTCTACGCCTTCTCTCCAAAGACGCTTCTTATGCTCCAGGCGACCAAAGAGAGTTTCTCGCCCAATTCAAGTGCTGGACCGACGACTTTCAGCGTCTGCTTTCCGTGGACGAGTTTCCCATCATCGAAGTGTGCCGGTCCCAGAAAAGATTCGAGAAGAGGCGCCTTGGCCTAAGACACCCTCAGACGGGCACTCGCATCGTGTATGAAATCAACGGCGAACCAGTGTTTCATGAAGAGACGGGCGATTTCCTCGGCGGTATCGTCGTGTTCAAGGACATTACAGAATACACCAACCAGATTGCCGCACAAATCCAGGCCAACGAGAAGCAGTTTGAATACATTGCAAACTTTATGCCAGTCATGGTATGGACGACGACTCCAGACGGAATGCACGACTGGTTCTCGCAGCGATGGTACGACTATACAGGCCTGACGGTCCAACGATCCTTGGGCGAGGGCTGGCGACTTCCGTTCCACCCGGACGATATGCAAGCAACTGCCCAGCGCTGGCTTCATTCACTGCGAACAGGAGACGAGTACAATACCGAATACAGGTGCCAACGCTACGACGGAGAGTGGCGCTGGATGCTGGGCCGGGCCTTGCCATTCTACGACGACAGAGGTCGCATAGTCAAGTGGTTCGGCACATGCACCGATATCCACGACCTCGTACTAGCGCGTCAGGAGGCGCGGCAAACAAGGGAACAGCTGCAACAGGTCATTCAACACGCAAAGATTGTTCTGTGGGTTATTGATCGCAACAACCACGTCAAGGTGCTCGAGGGTGAAATTTCGCCCAGCCAGCGTTTGCAACAAGACCAACTGCTCGGAAGAAACATATACGACGTTTTTGACCTGGCTGGCAATGATCGGGAGCGCTGGCGTGGACCCATTCAAGAGATACTCGAGGGCAAACACTCCAACGAAATCGTCAATGGCAGCTACATGTCCGAGGCTCGCTACTATCGAACTCGTCTGGTGCCGTTGATGAGCGCATCCCGGACAGCAGGCGTCGAGGGCCACGCCTTTGTGAATGGTGTAATAGGTGTCTCGATGGATATCACGGAGCTGCGCGAAAGAGAAGAGCAGCTCAAGGAGCAGGAAAAGGAAAACGCCCGGCTCCTGGCCAACGAGGCAGCTGCAAAAGAAGCAAGCCGTATGAAATCACAATTCCTGGCCAACATGTCGCATGAGATCCGCACACCGATCGCTGGCGTCATCGGTATGAGTGAGCTCCTGTTCGACATGGATCTCAACGACGAACAGAAGGAATGCGCTGAAAATATCCATCGATCAGCCAACAGCCTCTTGACCGTCATCAACGACATATTGGAGTAAGTTTGCTTTTCAAGTGTCGGGCGCCAAGTGGCTTGGCCGTGTGGAAAATGCAACTGCTGACGTTGCACCCTCGTGTTTAGCTTTTCCAAGGTCGAATCGGGTCGACTGGACGTTGAAGAGGTGCAGTTCAGCCTTAGCGTAGTCCTCAGGGATGTCAACAAGATGATGGCTTTTGCGGCTAACAGAAAGGGCTTGGACTATCAAAGTTTGATTCAAGACGAGGTACAGTCAGATTTGCGAGTAATGGGAGATCCGGGCCGACTTCGCCAGATCCTGACAAACGTGCTCACCAACAGTATCAAGTTTACGTCCGTAGGTACCGTCAAGCTGTGCGTCTCCATTAGCCATGAAACAAAGGACGTGGTGACGGTCAACTTCAGCATCGTCGACACGGGCATTGGCATTGAAGAAGAGGTTCGCAAGCGCTTGTTCCAGCCCTTCAGCCAGGCAGACTCGTCGACGGCTCGTAGATTTGGCGGCACTGGCTTGGGCTTGACGATTAGTAAGAACCTGGTTGAACTCATGAAGGGCCAGATATGGCTAGACTCCAAGTTGGGGCAGGGTACCACTGCCACGTTTTGGATCCCCTTTACGCGTGCACCATCGCAAGATGGCGAATCACCGTTGGTGCATCTCGAGTCAATTCCCGATCGGCTTCAAAGCGACATGTCGGTCTCGTGTGGCAGTTCCGAGGGCCACACACCACCCTTGACGCCGCAATTGCCGAATGGAACATCGGCCTATTCGCTGCTGAAATCGGCCATCCCAGATCATCTCATGAACCTGTCTGAGAGCGAAAGACAGCGCGTGCATGTGTTGGTGGTCGAAGACAAGTGAGTCTTGGGCTGGGCATATGACGCGCAAGACTTTTGCATGCTGACGCATTTGCAGCCACATCAATCAGCAAATCGCACTCAAGACGATCAAGAAGTTGCACTTTTCCGTCAATGCTGTGTGGAACGGCCAGGAGGCACTCGAGTACTTGGCCAAAGACTTCGGACCGTCACATCCACGCCCGGACATTATCCTCATGGACGTTCAGGTGGGTGAACAATGCGACCTTGGGAGGGTACACCGGCAGCTGACGGAAGACGCAGATGCCAATTCGAGACGGGTATTCTGCGACCCATGCCATTCGGACGGAAGCCCCTTGGCGCAACATGCCTGAAGTGCAAGGCGTTCCGATTGTTGCCATGACGGCCAGTGCGATTCAAGGAGACAAGGAAAAGTGCGTGTCGTGCGGAATGGATGTGAGTGCTGAACAGGGTCGGGTGTTGGAAGAGCGAGACATGCTGAAAGTTGACAGGACTACCTGGCCAAGCCGGTAAAAGGAAAGCTGCTGGAGAGAGTAAGTTGAGCCCAGCAGGGCTGTGAGTGTGGGCTCGCTAACGCGTGGAAGATGCTTGTCAAATGGGCACTCGAAGGACGGCGAAAAGCGGCCAAGGAAACGCCCTCTGCAATGGACCACGATCCACGGAGCAGCGCAAAGCCGACTGCTCAAAACAGCTTTAGCGCTCCTGGTCACCCGCAAACGGTAGGCACGACGCTAGAGTCTGAAACAACGGCGCAGGCATTGACCGCGGAGCTTGACCGCCTCCACTACCAGAGCGATGCAGCGTTCGCCAGGTCGAGCGAAAACGAGGGTGAACGGGCGATGCGACGCATCCACGCGGAGGAGAGGGACAGGAAATTGCGCGACGAGAAGCTCTTCTCGCTCGTGGGGCCGCAGCTTGTCCGGCACGACGCCACCGAGGGACCGCAGAACGAGCCATGGATGCCGCTGACCGAGGAAAACATTGAGAAGCTGGCGCACGAACAGGACGCCGATGTGTCGATGATGATGAGAAAAAGTGCCTCACCGGACGAGACGGAGTGTGAGATGAGGGGAGTGAGGCGGTTGGCGCCACTGCGACCGGGCATGCCACCTGCGCGCCATAGCGAGAGCGAACAGACCATTGTTGAGCGTGTGGCTCGATGAAAACGCAACGATGAACGGACGACTGACTGACTGACTGACGACTGACGACTGACGACGACGACAAGAAGGAAGATGCCGAGATGGCACCGTGTGACCTTGCCATGCAACAGAGCCTCAAAAAGTGCAAAGGAAGAGGATAATATTACTCTTTCCTTTTTTGCGCATGGCCCAATAGCGTGCGCACCGGGCAGACGGGGCAACACAGGCAAAGAGCGGTGATTTAACGTGCATAACTCTGACCCTTTGGCTGGGCTGATGGGGAGTGATCAAACCAGCAGCACGACGAGTGTTTGCAGGGGGGGAAATTACCACAGCATTGGGAAAAGAGGTCGTGGACGTGTGTGGCAGGGGGGGAGGGGAAGAGCATTATCAAAGTTTGGTGTTTGGGGCTGGTTGGCTGGCCGGCGCGTTCAGCTGGGCCTTTGGTTCATTGGCGCGGCTTCAGAATGCAGCGAGGGCACGGGCCCATGTTCCGCTCTGAGCAAAGCCGCCCCCCCCCCCCTCCCCTCCCTCCCTCCCTCCCTCCAAGCTCGCGCACGGAGATTGTCGAGGGAGGTTGAGGTGGCATGCAGCCTCGCGTCAGAAAGGGGAATGCTGAATGCAACAAAGGTCGTCCTGTGGTGTAGCATGGCCGTGCGGTTCCCTGCCCCGTCCCCCTCCCCCTCCCCCAAGACGTCATGTGCATCCACGTATGTAGGTAGCTATGTACACATGGACTACACAGCCAGGACCTAGTAGGAGCACTTCCTCGTTAAGAAGCAATTCTCCTCGTCGATCTGCATGCGGGAAATGCGGGCGTGGGACCTCTTCTCTTTTTTTTTTCTGGGTCTGATGTGGAGGCTGGCACTGGCACTGGCACTGACACAGACAGGCACAGGTTGCGTTGCGGTGCGTTGGCCTTGACATGGTTGCGTGTTGCGTTGCTTGTTTGCGCATAAAAGAGGGAAAAGCACCTTGGGGTAGCATTTTCTGCCATGCTTTGCTCCCCTAAGACTTACGTTCCAAATCGGGAAGCCAGCGATTTTCATGCGCACACACACACACACATACGCTCGGAGAAAGGAGGGGAGGGTGAGAGGAGGGTGAGAGGAGGGGGAGGGGGGGTGAAGGGGGGTGGGTGGGTGTGTGTGGGTAGATTGCCTTGGGCTTGCCCGCTGCTTTGCCACATGGCACATGGCATGGCATGGCATGGCATGGCATGGCATGGCATGGCCGCCGCCCGCCTTCCCGCACAGCAAATCACCCGTGTGCCATGGACTTCCCAAATCGATAGACTTGACGGCGATGATCGCATGGCCTTTTTGGGGAGGGGGAAGACGTTTAGGCAGCGGGAAGAGGGCGAAGATCATAAGATAGGATTTAGTAGACATGCAGCACCAGCACCCTCTCCCGCGCAAACCTTGGGCGCGCGCTGCGCACAGACTCGGCCTTACGCAGCCACCCCCAAGCTTGTTCAAGGTGACAGCCCACGTTACTCCCGCAGTTTCAACGAACGTTACATCGGGCGGCTTGAGCGTTCTCCCATTGCGGATGGCCGACGACTCGAGCACGCACACACACGCGCGCAGCGCCAGAGGCAGCGAGGGTAGAGGCAGAGGAAGTGAGTGAGAGAGAGAGAGCACGAGCTGCAAGGCCCAGCATCGTCTTGGCGTGTGCTAGCCTCTGATTAGCTGGCCCATGGATGCGGACGCAACTTAGACCGCTGCCCGCATCCTCCAGCTCCTCCTCCTCCTCCACCATGGCCCTCCACCACTACCACCCACACCTACTACTGACACCTTGCCCCAAAAGAATCGGCGTGGGTGGGTAAATGTACCAGAGTGCCGGGTACACTTGATTCGCTGCCTCGCCGACCACCTTTTTTGTTTTTGGCTTGCATGCCATTTTGGCGGCTGCAGTCACTCTCTCTGGCTCTTGTTCCTTTTTTTTTTCATTCCCTTCTTGCTCCCACACTTGCGCTTGCCCGATAGGCTTTCGGCTCACTTGCTGGCCCCCCCCTTCCCTATGTAGCGAGAAAGTCTGTTGGAGCCCTCTTTTTTTTCGATGATGATGATTTTGATTTTCTCCACCTTGGATGACTTTCCGCCCGCCGGCAGCGCCCTTATGCATCACGGAGTGTTTGTCGTGCGCAACATACCTTGCGCCCCCTCCCCCCCCCCGACTGCAACAACTGTTCATCCCCTTCGCCCATCCCCAAAACATGCGTGTTCCTGACGGTCAAACAGTGCTGATCACTTGTTTGCAGAGCCGCACATGTGGCTCACCACGCCAGATCGCGGGGAACGCTTGTCGACGATCTCCGGGAGGATGGAAACAAGTGTTGCACATTCCGTGACTATTACACCACCTCTACAAGAAATTCGACAGCGCATGGGGCGACAGCGCATGGGGGTGTGTGTGTGTGTGCGTGCGTGCGAGGACAGGACAGGAAAGGGCAAGGGGAGGGGTTGCGGACTTTGATTCTCCACCGACGAGGCAGCGTGGCCCTCGTATTGGACAGCTTAGGCTCTGATCTCGGAAATAAAAAAGATAACCCACGAGCTTATCGACGAGTCGAATGGCTTGGCATGCCAACAGCAAAGGGCCTCAACAGGGCTATGGCTGATAGAATGAGGGGACCCAGCGGAGCTTGCGAATGCAGGGTCCAGTGTGAGTGTGTGTGTGTGAGTGAGTTGTATTGTGTAGTATTGTGGTGTAGTGATGGTGGTGGTGGTGGTGTGGATGAATGTGGGTGTGAGCCTGATGAGTGCGGATGTATGTGTGTGTGTGTGTGTGTGTGTGTGCAAATGCCGGGGCTTGTTCTGCCCGATGGCGGAGGGCAAGGGGTCAGCAAATTGCAGTGCAGGCGTGCAGAAGATGGCATGGAGTCAGTCAACGAGGAGGATATCCACTTGTGGTGCCAAAAAGTCTTGCCATGGTGAGGCCGGTCGGAGGGCAACGGCAGCGCATCAGGTTTGCGGCAAGTCGACTGGTTCACAAGTTTGGCGACGGTACTGCATGCGCCAGCACATGCACGGGGCACGATAGCGCTGGAGAAGGGCGCAGGCTGTGAGTGTGTGTATGGGTGTATGGGTGTATG